AGGGTACGACAGTTTGCGAATGCCGCAAATAAGCGTTATCATCATCTTCCACAACGAAGCTTGGTCTGTGCTGTTAAGATCTGTGCACAGTATCCTATCGAGGACACCTGCACATATTCTGAAGGAGGTTATCCTTGTAGACGACTTCTCCACCAACGGTAACACTCTTAAATAGTAATTTTGTAAAGATAGACAAGTCAAGCATAGCTGGAATACATACAAACGTATATATACATACATGCATACGCACATAAATACACACATAAATACATATTAAGTACATGTATATGTGAAGTACATATGTACATAACTACACACCCATATGCATGTACACACAACTACATACATACTGTAACATACGTACATTCAAGATCCTACTATGCCATTATACGAGGAGAGGTCAATAGGTAAGTAACAAACAAACGATTTTTAAAAATTAAATTAAATTAAAATTGAGAGATAACAACTTGAAAACCGTTTATTTTAACACATACTCTGTCCCTTTATTTTCTAAACCACATTTTCACTTCACATTCAACTTCTGAGTCATTCACGAAATGTCTCTAGCCAAAGTGGGTTTTTAGTGGACCAAAAAGGTGGAAATCTCTAAGGACTAAGTCGGGCCATAAGGTGGATGGTCCAGAAGTTCCCACTCTAGATGGTTGATTTTCTCCTGAGTTAACCAAGCCATATGTGGTCTGGCATTGTCAGCAATGAGCAGTATTCAGCAGGCCTATACGTTTTCTTCAAATTGCATCATGAAGCATCGGTAGAACTTTACAGTATGAATCAGCATTCACATTGTCACTAAAAAAAACCTGGTTAAACGCCCTCATTGACAGTACCAGAACACTGTCAGTATAACTTTCTCTGCTGATAGCGTAATGATGTTCTCGCTGCATTGAAACACGCCTTGTTTCGGGCTAGTAGTGATGCACCCACACCTTCTCCTTCATCTGCGTATCGACAGAGATGCTGCAAGGACAGACCTAGTAGGCTCATTTTGTGTACGTTCGTCAATTGTCTGGGTACCTACCTTAAGCACACTTTCTAAAATTTTAGTGGATCGTGCATTATGTTGTATACTGAACCATGTGAGCACCCTACTGCAGCTGCTATAGAGTCAACCGTTAATCGCCTGTCACACATAATCATCTCCTTCACCTGCTGCACGGATGCGTTTGTTGCAATCTCAACAGGACGACCATATTTGACTTCATTAACAGTTTTAGAGAAAATACTTTTACCCAGCTATGCACCGCTTACGGGATAAACATTTGTCAGCATAAACAGGAAGCATTTTGCTTATAAATGTGCTTCAGCAGCACGTTGTTCTTTGAGGGTACACTCCTTAGGTACAGTCGCCATTTTACTTATGTGTTGCGAATGCGCATGCAACACGCAGCTCCACCTAACGAACGGAGACATAAAAGTCAGATATTGCTGTCATCTAATGACACCTTTAGAAACCACCAAATTCATTTCTTGTAACCATTTGTGACTTACTTATTGTCTTGTCCTCGTATAGAGCCTCATAAATCACACTAAATCAGAACGTCAGAAAGACCAACTAATGTTAGAATATAGCGAACTAAATAAAAAGACCAAGAAAAGTGCCAGAGCTGACAAGAAAAGATTTATGGAAAATCTTACAGAAACAGCAGAAAATGCTGCTAAAGCACATGATCTACAAACCCTACACAAAATTACCCAGCAAATTTGCGGAAACAGAAACAATTATCGCAGCATACCTATCAGAGATAACCAAGGCAGACTGCTCACCACAGAACAAAAACAAGACATGCAGTGGACTAAACACTACTCCGACCTCTTGAACAGACCTGATCCTGAATATCCCCCAGACATTCAACCAGCCTCTCAGGACATTGACATTATTACTGAACCACCAAGAAAACAAGACATCCTTAAAGCTATCAACACTTTAAAGAACAACAAAGCACCAGGCAAAGACGAACTGCCAGCAGAACTTCAGATCCCAACACAACTGCTAGCATTCTAGAACCATTGTTCAAGGATATTTGGGAAAAGGAAGTGTTGCCTGATGACTGGACTGAAGGAACAATAGTCAAAATCCCCAAAAAAGGAGACTCAACAGACTGCAATAATTGGAGGGGAATTACTCTACTCTCAGTACCAAGCAAAATATTTAGTAAAATCATCATAATGCGGCTTGAAAAAGGAGTAGATAAATTCCTACGAGTGGAACAAGCAGGATTCAGAAAGCGCAGAGGAACAACTGAGCACATCTTCGCCATACGTAACATTTTAGAACAATGCAACGAATGGCAGAGAAGTATATATATTAATTTTGTGGACTTTGAGAAAGCTTTTGACAGCATCCATAGAGACGTTCTGTGGAAAATTTTACGTCATTATGGGATTCCAGAAAAAATAGTCAACATAATTGTTCTCTTCTATAAAGATTTTTCCTGCAATATAAAAAATTACAATACATCTTTCCCAGTAAAGACGGTTGAAAGACAGGGATGTATTATGTCATCTCTCCTCTTCAACCTTATGATTGATTGGATACTAAAGAACACAGCAGACAGGACATTAACATTCACAATGCTTAAGGGCCTTGATTTTGCAGATGATATAGCACTCCTATCACCACACATGTCTACGTAGAATTATCAAAATGTTCTGGCCAGATACAATCTCAAACACTAAACTACTTCAAGCCACAAACCAAGAAACTTTAGACAGTGTGATTACCCAGAGAAGATGGAAATGGCTTGGCCACGTTATGAGAATGACTTCTGATATACCTGCCAGTACAGCTTTCACATGGACACCAGAGGGAAAGAGAAAACAGGGCCGCCCGAAAACAACATGGAGACGAACGATGGAAAGTGACCTGAGTGCGGCATCTTTGACATGGAAAACTGCACTGAAGATTGCACAGGACAGGAAAGCATGGAAAGTCCTCTTTGAAGCCTCATGTGCCACTGGGCATAACGAGAACTGATGATGTCCTCGTATGTTCCACGGGGGATCACAGTCTATTTCTTTATTCAGTTTGATCAACCAATTCAATGTCATGGATGAAATGCATTTCAGCACCTCTGGCTTCTCTTATCGACGTTCTTTTGACGAGAGAGGCCAACACACACGAATACATTTACACATACATACTTGTCGCACGCCCACGTGGGTAAATACACTGATATAGTGAGGGTGTGGGTTTGAACCTTAACAATGCCCTCCCACGTGAGAAACTGGACTATTATCTAAGCTATGTTGATCCTAGACAGTCCTGGATAGCCAAGAAAACAGCGAGTGGCTCGTTCCATGAAATGAAAGTTGCTGTACTTGTATCCACAGGAGTAGGAGAAGGGATAGATAGAGATCAAGATGAACCCACTGAGATAATATCAGGATACTCAGTTAACCCCTCCTACTGTTCTCCTCTCCTGGCATTACTTAAAAGCCCCCATCAAGTGATTTAAATATTTGTTAGCTGAAGTAAACTAATATGCACAAAGACACTTGAACCTAAGTACACAATTTACTCAACTGTGTTGTAACAACATCAAACATGATTTATTTGAATAAATCGAAATTAAAATGAACTTGTTTAGGCTAGTAGAGTTGAAATGATGTGAATGATGAAATCATAAAGGTATTGGAAAGTAACAACCTTTGGACAGTTCTCGGCTTGAGACCCTGCCTATCTTTTCCTCACTGCTTTCATGCAGGTCGTTACACTCAGACGGTCGGCAAATAATGGATGCCTACTAGTCCCTGCCCAATGTGGGAACTGGAAAATGAAACCACAATGCCAAAAGTTCTGTCTCAAGCTTAGGTTAAGCCCAACAGATGACATGTGCTTGACAGAGTCTCATTTACCAGACCTAGTGTTCACCACTTTATAACTTTTATTAGGCTCCTCCTACATTACGCCTAAAATCATTCTCATTCAAGGATATCACAGCTCCTCCCCTGTGGGTGTATATTCACTGTCAGTCAGTGACTGTACAACAATTGTTTGAATTCCCACGCTAGGATCTCCTGGTCAATTCATCTGACCAGAGCAAATAGGCCAAGTCACACCTCCAGCCTACTTCACCTGCCATCACAATAAAATCAGACGGTGTCAATTCTTCTGTTAACACTTTCTGCTCACCATGTCAATAGTGACCGTCGGACCTGCCCTCAAAATTGGTAACCTCAGGGGGAATTAAACACAATTAGCCGGAGTTATCTGCCCCTAATGGTCTGGCTAGGAGATAAATATCTGACACCAACAGATGGTGTGCAAATCTGCAGACAGTACGTCTGGGCTGGTCAGAATCACAGGCGTCACAAAGACTACCTTAACACTTTACATCTGGGAAAGAGTCTCAGTGTTTGATATTATCAACAGTCCCGGAAAAATAAATGTTTTTTCAGGTCGCCTACTTAGATTAGGGATGTATCCAAATCCCTATTTTTCTGCATACTTTCAAAATACAAAGAAATAAAAGTAGGTTGAGGAAAGACATTCTGAAGTCACCGAGCGTATTGTCACAATACTTACACACATAAACACATAGCCATACATGTAAAAATAGACATGGTGTATCTATGTGTGTCTGTCCGTTAGTCTTGCAGACAAAGTAAGTAAAATGTTACCACTTAGGTTGATGTGTAAAGATGTAGGAAGTGTTTTAATGCTCATGTCAATGAAAATGAAATGCCGACTCGATTGAGAACCAGACACACGACGGCTTGACCGAAGAGTAAAATCTATCTCTCTCTCTCTCTCTCTCTCTCTCTCTCTCTCTATATATATATATATATATATATATATATATATATATATATATATATATATATATATATATTATATATATATATAGTGTGCAATTGTGTCTGTGTGTATGCGTGTCTTTAGATTTTAGATTAAAGTGGATTTATGGCTGTATAGGAAGCTAGAATGAATTTCTTAAAAAATAAAGAAAACATACTGATACTAATTTAATTCTAATTTCTAGACTATTTAAAGGAGCCATTGGAGAAATACTTCAATTCCTTCCCCAAAGTACAAATCATTCGTGCGACCAAGCGGCAGGGACTTACACGAGCTCGCTTATTGGGATATTATTTATCTACTTCACCGATTGTGGTCTTCTTAGACTCTCACATAGAATGTTTCCCTGGTAAGTGCCTTCTTTGAATCATAATATTAACCGTTTTTATGTTTTGTTGGTAAGGACTTTGTTTGATACATTATATTATGTATGTGGCCATTTTTGTTTTCTTAGACGCAGCACTAGTGGGCACTAGGGAGGTTTACTTGTGATTCAGACCGAAGCCAAAATATTATATATTCAAAGTGTTTGATTATACATCGGAAAATCAACCTGCATTGCCATGTGTAACATTAGTAAAAAGAATACACATGTCAGCGACGCCGCACTCAGGTCACATCGTTCGTCTCCATGTTGTTTTTAGGCGCCCCTGTTTTCTCTTTCCCTCTGATGTCCATGTGAGAGCTGTTTTGGCAGGTATATCACGATTCATACTCATAACGTGGCCAAGCCATTTCCATCTTCTCTTGGTAATCATACTGTCTAAAGTTTCTTGGTTTGTGACTTGAAGTAGTTTAGTGCTTGAGGTTGTATCTGGCCAGAAAATTTTGATAATTCTTCGTAGAAATGTGTGGTGGAAGGTGGACAGCTTGTGTGCATCCTTTTGGTCATTCTCCAGCATTCCGCTCCATAAAGAAGAACTGGCGAAATGATGCTCTTGTAGAGTCGGAGTTTCGTTCCTCTGCAGTAATTGTTGAATTTCCAGATTTGCCTCATCCTTCCAAAAGCAGATCTATATTTGTTCAGACGTGACTGTATGTCTTCCTCTGTCCCTCCCAGTAGGGACACTATACTGCCAAGATATGTGAAATGTTCTACATTTTCAAGAGTTTGGTTATTTATGGTCACTGGTTGTTGGTTTAATCTGCTTGTCATGATCTTAGTTTTCTTTGCATTTATTCTCAGTCCCACCATTTATGCTGTGCTATGTAGTCTGTTGCTTTTCTCTTGTATATATTCATGTTTATGTGATTGGAGTGCTATATCATCTGCAAAATCAAGGTCCTAAAGCATGGTGAATGGACTCCATCGTATGCCTCTCAATGTCCTGTCTACTGTGTTCTTTAGTATCCAATCAATCACAATTCCCCTCCAATTATTGCAATCTGTTAAGTCTCTTTTTTGGGGGGGATTTGGACTATTGTTCCTTCAGTCCAGTCATCAGGCAACACTTCTTTCTTCCCAAATATCTTTGAACAATGGTTCTAGAATGCTAGCAGTTGACACAGTTAAATGTGGCTGCAATGAATCTCTCATACCTTTTTTTCTCATTTGCTCCAAATAGTACCTAAATGACCAAAACATTCGCAACAACAACAACTTCAACAAAATAATGCGAAAAGCCGAGGAAGCCTCATTAAAACATAAATAATTTTAAAATGAGAACTTTAAAATCACGTTTTAAGCTCTCTCAGTTAACATTGTCTGTCATCACCCCCTTTCCCTCCCAATCCACCGACAACTACTCTCTCCCCCTCCAAATGATTTGAAATTCATACCCTAATAATATTTTTTTTTTTTCATTTGACCTTGGCATCGGTGTCCATCCAGATTAAAATAGGCAGCATGAATTATAATGAGAAGTTAATGCGGCCGGTGTAATATTTACTAAATAATTTATTATAGCATACAGCTTCATGCAGATTTCTGAGGTCATTAGTCAAAGTTCGCCTACAACCTGCACCAGGAACGCGGCAACGAAACAAAATTGGAAAGTCGAAAAACAAAACCAAGATGCCGATGTGACCGTCGCTGGAACTATATAGTTCGTGCTTTTGGGACACTCTTATTTAAAACACTCGCGTACTCGAATGCAACGTTGCCTAAAAATGTGAAAGCAATCGGTGAATATCTGTCGGCACACAGCTTCATGCGATTTCTGAGGTCAACAAAATTCGCATACCATCGGAAGTAAAAAAACCGCGCCGGCAAAGCGGCATCAAAACAAAAACCGATGTGATAGTCGCTAGAGCTATGTAGTTCGTGATTGATATAAAACTCGACTTCGACTCTTATATAAAAACACGCGCGTATTTGAATGCAACGTTTTGTAAAAATTTTAAAGCAATCAGTGAAGAATTTTCGGAGATGAGCTATTACTAACAAAGAAACATTTACAATTTTTTAAATAATTTATCTTTGTAAACATTAATTGTCAATTATATATTTTATTCTGAAAGGTTGGGCGGAGCCTCTGATTGCTCGAATTAGCGAAGATCCAACCAGGGTTGTCTTCCCTAGCATTGAGGTCATAGCCGATGATGAACTTCACACCAGCTGCAACTCAAACGTCAACCAGAACGGAATTTTCGTATTTAAAGACTTGACTTTCCAGTGGCAAGTGATTTCAACTGCTGAAATGAACAGAAGGAAAGATGACGCAGATCCTATAAGGTTGACAATCAATACTTTCATGCTTCAATAATTGTGCAGCCAATCCCTCGATGGTAACGTTTCCTTTACGCTTTTGAATTGCAAAAGAGAAAGGAAGAAGAGTGTTGCACAAATGTTTATGCTTATTAGGTCTACTCGCTTACTTTTGCCAGCAGCTTATTTCGTAACCATATGGCACCCCGATTTCATTGTTATTATACTCGCGCTGGAGTTAGGTATAAGCTAAAAAAAAGTTACAGCTTAGGCCTTCTGAAGCTGCAGGAGCCTTTACAAAGTCTTTTTTTTTTTTAAATGCATTTTTCTTTGAATATGTTTTAATTTGGATTTTTGCTTTTAAGGTATTTGAAACTTACAACAATTATTAAGTTGTAAATTAGAACCTTTTAGATTATAATATTATTTCTGTGGTTTCGCAAAAACATTCTTTGAAAAAAAAAAAAAAAGGATTAATCCACAGTATTACCCATATATTCAGAAGCCGTATATATTTTATGAACATGTTAACGCTTACTGAGATTAAAAGTTAGTTGCGTATCCTTTTCACTACGTTGCACAACCAGCCCCAGCATTTTTTGGCTGTTGTGGTTTTCCTAGACTAATTTTACATTAAGTAGTTTGCCATTGCTTACTGCATGGTCAGTTCTCAGTACCACTGTCGAAACTAACCCAAGACGAACCGTCTGCAGCTGGGATTGAACCCGGCACCCCGGCATTACGATGCTCGTTTGCTCCTGTGCCACAGACGCCTACCTTCTGAGATTAGCTGATGTAATATAAAACATTGGCGTCAAGGCTTTAAATAGCTTAGGGTCTCATGAAGTGTAAATCTGGCATTGATTATAATGAAGAATGGCGTGTCTGGGATCTGCTTCTGTTGAATCCGAATACAGTCGAGTCTGGATAAGTAGAAGTCGCAGGGACCTAAGCAAATGCTTCCACTTATCAGGATTTTTACTTATCCAGACAGCACACACAGTAGAGAAAATTGCCGGGACTAAGCTGGTCATGTCGACTTAACCGAAATTCGACTTATCCGAATTCGACTTAAGTGGACTCGACTGTAGTAGCTCTTTAACTTTCTGAGTCCCAGACAACGCTCGATACGTTAACCTCCCTAAATTTTAAATCCCCTCCCTAGCCTAATATGTTCTCTTACTTTTTGTATTTGGTCAGAACACACTCAAGAAAGCTGGCCTATCAGATGGTCACTACTACTGTTATATTGCTATTATTTTAATAACGCATTGATGAACTTTAGTCATGGATATTTCTTCATTGGCATCTTAGACGAAACCTTCGTTTGGTACTAATGGAATTAACTCCTTCAGTACCAGACAAATGATGCGTTCGCATGTTCTATACAATGTGTTGGCGTCTGCTTTTTAGCCTTTGCAAACGCTCTTCTGAATTCTTAAGTACCTGGTTTTAAAAACAGCTGCATGCAATTTGGAAGCAGACGCCTTCGGTTGATTTCGATAATGATGTTGAGAGCTGATCATTTAGAAGGCAGTGGCAAACTATTACCGTAAAGTTGCCTAGTTAAAATCAAAACAGCAAAAATTATGTGGCTGGTTCTCCAACTTCATGTAAAGGATACTTTAGTAACTTTAATTTTTAAATCTCTCTCTCTCCTCTCTCTCTCTCTCTCTCTCTCTCTCTCTCTCTCTCTCTCTAATATATATATATATATATATATATATATATATATATATATATATATATACGTACACATAAACAAATGTATATTACAATTTGGACGCTTTCTTCTCGAATATGTATTAAAATGTGAACTTTCTCCTAAAATTTATAATAAAATTGTGTACACTTTCTCCTCAAATATATTTTTAAATGGTCTACCCCTTCTCCTCAAATATATTTTAAAATTGTCGACACTTTCTACTCAAATGCATAAGAACATTTTGTAAACCTTCTCCTCAACTCACGACCTGCGCGATTAACGACCGTCCGCTTTTACAGCCACTATAAATCAGTAAGATCACACTATACAACACAATTGAAACTTATAGTTATCTGATGGTGCGTTTTTATTTGTTGTCGATGAAGTTGACGCCTTAAAAACTATTGACAACCACGCTAAAAAACTATCGACAACCAAGATACAAAGAACTGTTAAGTGATTCGTTAAACCCTACTGTATTCTGGTGTGCAGTTTGAACAATAACACTTATAACTCATAAATTACAATGATTTTGAATGGCAAAATTATTACAACATTGGGTTTCTCTCAGTAGAAATTTTTTTCCTTCATAAGTAGTAAAGCATTTTTGTGTGTGCATATTACGCTCGAAGAGTAAAAATGACATAAATCATGGAACTAATGCAATAGAGTACATACTATGCATTTGTTTTATCACATTTTGTACCATTTTTATTACCCGTTTCAAGAAAAACAATGTTTTGCGTTGGTGTGCAAAATCCTATAAAGGATGCGTTGTTGCATTACTCTAAATGGTATCCTTTCATTTTTAGCGCTTCGCATTACTCTGAGTATTATCCTCCCACTTGTAACATTGCCTACCTCTTGCCGACGTGCCTTCAGCTTTTCCCTTAAATATGTTTTTTTTTTAATTAGTGTGTTATTCCTTTAAAGCTAGTTGCATATCCTTCACAAGACGTTGTAAATCAAAACTAATGATTGTGAGTAATTGTATGACATTTCCAAGAGCTTGGATTTCATGTTTTAATTTTTTTTTTCGAAAAAGGGGAGTATCATGTCCCATTTTTTTCTAGCATCAAAGAATATATTACCAGTAGGATGGCTCGTTACCTTGTCCCACAATACACCCTTTTCATTCGTGTTCCTTTGTGTATTTTTTTCCACTTAGCTTGCACTCACCAATTTTGTGTGTACTTGCCTATCATTTTTAAATATTTTGTGTCTGAAATAAATCGATTTGTCTAGGTTTAGCTTCACCCCACTGCAAATGTCAGTAGCAATGACCTTTCACAAAGACGGCAAAATACTTTTTATTATGTGGGATGCAATTAGTCTTTAACTGAAGCCCCATCCTGAATTTTGCCGGGGGTCCTAAATATAGCCAGGCCATAAATATGGCGTATCGACTAAACGGGGTTTCTGGGACCTCTCCGCGGGTGATCCTCATCCGCATGGTGGTACTTTGTGTTACCAGGTAATTATCGCTTGTGTGATGTCCTGGTGGGGTGCAGCTACCTACCTACCGAAGACGGTAAGAATTCACACACAGATTGTTTATTGTTGATTCCTCAATCTTGTGGGCGGGGTCATTCTCGTCGATCGTCTTGACAGTAACTAATGTTATATATCTCGATACACCACTAAGAATCTCCCCCCCCCCCCCCAGTATTTCAAATTAGATTTATCATTCGCAGCTGTCAGTCATTCTTGGTATCTCACGAACAATGCATTTCATTTCATTCATCCTTGACTGGTGCCATCTTTCTCGTCTGCTCAACAGAGCTCTCTCGTCGCCGCTTTCCGCTCCTCAGTTTCGCACAAAATAATCACTCGACTCAGACGTCCGCTCACAATCGCTGTCCCACACAGAATGAATCTTTCTTCTATCTAAAGTTGACTTATTCCTTCTCCCCATGAAATTCTCACTAAATATACTTTTCTCACCTAGCTCACGGTTCTCCTTTTCGCACGGTTTATCCCTGATTAACCCTTACTTGACCCTAGCACATCCGGTCTAAATGGACGCTAGTCAGGGGCACTGTTTGGAGCCGAGGCAAATTTTTTGCTTTTGCCGGACGGTGACCGATGCATTTTTGCTCCATTTGTAGACTGGATATAGTTTCGTCGCCCAGCTTCTGAGCTGAATGCATGGCGTGACACTGTGAGCTGCAGATTTCATGTTTTTTCGACTGTGACCAACGTGGTGGTGTGAATTGTAGATTCAGAAAATGGCGCGACTGCGATGCTTGCCGGCGCAATGTTGGTGGTGCCCGTATGTGATTAATATTGACCGCGTGGGCAACTGCTGATCTATTGGTGACTTCTGCTACCATCAATGATGAACTGCATTTCTAATGCCGGACTGATTGTGTTAGACCTTTAGATGGCTCACCGTATGCTTTAATGCGTGTGTATGCTAGATATGCTGTATTAGCAGTCTGTCAATCTTTCCACAAGGGACTGTGATAAACATTATGTGTGTTTTTCGTTAGCACAGGAGCGGAGCAAAGAGGTGGGGGGGGGGGGGGGGTAACCCATTAGCTATAAAGCTGAAACTAAGACTTTCAGACTACAAGACACAATGACCCGTTCCGCTGGGAAATCTCTTGTGACGTCATTAGGTTTCCTACATGATTACAGCGTCCCTTATTTTTTACATATTTATTTTGAGAACTCATTTGCGCGAGCTCCTAATTTGCTGTGTCTATGACAGTAACATTCACAGAACACAAAATGATTATATTGTTTGGTCACTTGGTCAGAATAGCACAAAATCAGCCAAACAGCGATAGTGTACTACATAAGAACTGCAGGCTAGAAATCAAAAGGTAAAAAAGAAACAGACGAATGGAGGGAGTGAAAGAGAAAATACACTAGAGAAATGCATAATGTCATTAACACAAACTAGCAAAAGACAGGAAACTAAATCTACTCCTCTCTGTGACCACTTTTTGGCATAAACAGTTGGAAAAATTACCCAGAGGAAGAATGGCAGCAAATGAATAGTTTTATCGGATCTGAGACAAAATCAATTCTTATAAAGCAAGAGAAAAAGAGAAAAATGGAAAATAAAAATGTAAAGCAAACTTCATTATCGACAAGCCTCTCGCTTGCTATTGTAACGGAAAAAAACTATTTGACGTATCCTGTGTATTGAATACAAACACTATAATTTTATTTTCTATTGCTGTTAATACAGGTTTCCCACAAATGTGCCTACATATTGATTTGATATTGATTTGCTGATATATACATTGATTTATATATGTTTCTGTTGTATCAGTGACGCAAGAACGTGGAGGCCTAGGTCCTTTGAGGGCCTTCACCCCTGGTTCATGTGAAGATTTATAAGGGACCCAATAAAATGTGATTAATCATTCACATCGGCGCCCGGGTGGTTCATTTGCTGGCTGGTAGATGACTTCGTCGCCAGTTGGGGCAGTTTTAAGTCTGTCTCCTTTGATCGCATCAACGCTGTAGAAGTCCTTTTCAGGACTATTTGTCGCGTGAAATGCTAAGCCATTTTATCTGGCGCACATAAGCTAGTCACAATTATAATCTAACGTTCCCCCCCTCAGAGATTCTTGTTCAACACGACGATTTTCTTTACAAGCAAAGCAACAACAAACGGGATTAAATAAGGAGGGGTTAATAAATGTCTGGATAACCACTGGATAAAACAGTTATTAGACATAAAAGATGAAGTCTATTGGATACATTCTGATAATACAAGAGCAGGTAATCACCAAGCATTCACTAAAATGGGAAATTAAGGGACTGAGGAAGTGAGTATGTCCACAAGAAACCCTAAAAACAACGTTAATGAGAGAGGTCAAAGGTGCTGAACCGAATTCTATCAATGATATTAAATTGATTGCACAGGAGAGAACAAAATGGGGAAATAGACTTCGAGCCCCGTGTGACACACACATGGAACACCATGATAATGATCATAATTAGTGCCTCACAATTTGTGTGTATGTCGGCGCCCGCTGATTTCTATGAGACAAGTTAATTTAAATAAGACGAGTTTACAATACTGTAAACATGAATAATATCAGTCAATATTTTGATGTTTAATCTTTGGGCTGCTGTTTTCAACTAACTGATTGTTGAATATTTAAGGATGTACACTTTTTCCCCAGAAGTACCAGAGGCGGGATGGGGGGGGGGGGGGGGGGGGGTGGTGTTAAGTTTATTTAAAAAAATAAAATTCCTTTTTATTACTCTTACATTATATCACTGTTATCACATTCAGTAAATTAAAAAAAATAATGTTATTATTATCCTGTTTTTAATCAACGTTAAACCTCCTGATTTTTACTGTTGATTATATCACTTTTTAACATTCAGTGAATATAAAAAAAAAATTAATAATTGTTATTATTACCCTATGTTTTTAATAAACGTTAAACTTCTTTATTCCACCCCTTCCACCTACTCCTCCTCTCCTAAACAAGAGGACATTTGCGAAGGGCTACCTGCAGCCCCTCCCCACCCCCTTTATTTTTTTCCAAATCACCACTCCACCCCTTTTTACACCGGACTGAATCGAAAACCATGGTCAGACTACAAGAGTAAGCTCTTAATGTTTTTGCCCCTACCCACAATAGGCATGTCTTGTTAAGGTCTACTGATTCTACAAGAAATGCGCGTTCAGTCCAACATATGCACCTTTTTTTTTTTAAGGTGTACTCGGTCTATAGTTTTAATCCTCCGAAATTTGAAATCAACGCTCGAAAAAATTTCGTCACGAGCAGGATTCGAACCTGCGCGGGAAAATCCATATAGATTCGAGTCCAACGCCTTAACCACTCGGCCATCATGACAGTTAACTCGCTGTCTGTAAAAAAATTAAAGTGTCTTTGATTCATCAAATATAACAATTTACAATAGACATTGTTCAGAGTACTGAATATTTGCTTCTTATGTCATATTTATCAGTTCTCCAAGTGGTCCTATTTTTACATCATCATTCTCTCTAAGGATGTCTGCAGAACCGTATTTAAAATGTATAACGCCTCTGTATATTCATTTATTGTATAACCCCTTATCCCTTTGTTGTTGTTATTGTTGTTGTAGTTGTTGTTGTTGTTGTTCTTTTTCTTCGCGTTCACCTGCTGTAAACCTCAGCACCCCCCCCCCCCCTTATTTTTCCCCTTCCCAGACACACACATACACACACAAAATGCAGTTAAAAACAGAGATCTTAAGAAAAAAAAAGGTCATGTTAAATATTTTATCAAGATGTGTTTACATGACGTCAGATCGCCAACAATGCCAGGAGGACTTTTTGCCATCAGCCGAGAATTCTTTGACAAACTGGGAACTTACGACCCTGGACTGGATTACTGGGGTGGCGAGAATATTGAACTCTCCTTTAAGGTGAGAAGAACCTGCAGATTTCTAGTTTTAAAATATGGGCTATCCTCCGACAAACGGTCGGCAAAGATGGCGGCGGCAAAATATCGAGCCGAGCTGCGGTCATGGGTGATTGCGCACTTCCGGCTACTTAATTTGCAGTCTTTCGGCGGTTTTCCGCCAACAACCGCTACCTCCATGTGGCCCCCACGCCGCTCACGCGGTGTGGATTAGGGCTAATATAGATGGCTAGGACTCACGAGCAGCAGCTTCCGCATCTCCTGCAGCTTTGCTTGTAAGTCCCAGCCATCTAGTTTAGCATAATCCACGCCGCGTGAGCGGCGTGGGGGCCATGGGGAGGTAGCCATTGTCGCCGGAAAAGCGTACACGAAGTAGCCGAAAGCGCGATATTAACTCGTGAACCCAAGCGCGCAATTACCCGTGACCGCGGCTCGGCTGGATATTTTGCCGCCGCCATCTTTGCCGACCGTATGTCTGAGGAAAGCAAACATATGTTTCTGTTTCCAGGTCCTCGTTTGCAACTTTCGTTGGCTTTCAGGATACTAATGCTGCCTTGTTTACCAAAGCATTTACTGGGCCACGCTACGACCCTAAGTTTTGCCATGGTGTCATAACGATCAAATAAGGTAGTTCTAAAAAATCTAGGAGTGCCAAAAAAAAAAATAATTCCAAAGGAAATAAAAAGTGATTTATGAAACATGACATATTAAAAGATGCCTAATTTTCAAAAAACCATACTTGAGTGAAAAGTTAAAGGCAACATAGAAAGAGACAGACATGATTGCAAGTAAGAGGATACCATCAAAATATGGGCGAACAGCATTTTGAGAAAATGTACATACATGCCTAATAAGAATTTAAACCCAAGTCCTCCGGGATAGGATGTGTCGCTTCTGTAGCTTGTATGCGCCCCATGATAATCACGTGTTTAGTGCTTCGCTGGCAGTCTCGCATTTACCCGAGCTCCATCCCTATCATGATCATGGTAATAACCATTTGTACAATACTTTATATTTTTCAGGGGGCTGCGCGGTCTCAGGCATGGTGCCCGCCTCGAGTGCTAGAGCTTCTGGGCTCAATCCCCTGTAAGAACTGGGATTTTGTCACGTGGACTTAGACTTCTAGTAATTCCTCCTGGTCTCTGTGTAGTGAGTTCAGACGCCCGTGTGCATTGTTGCGCACGTAAAAAAATCCCTTAGCAGTTGGAAATCGAAAAGAGTAGCCTAACGGCTCTGCCCGGGTAAAATTTGGAGTTTAAAAACTGAGCTTCTTCGGACTCAGACTTTAGTTAGAAGAAAAACGGAGCACTTATGGGTTACTACCCGTGTGCCATGATGTTGATCTGTTGTTAGAAATATCAAAACTCAAACCTCTATTTATTTCAGGCTTGGATGTGTGGAGGGAGTGTGGAGATGGTTACCTGTTCTCACATCGGTCATATCTTTCGGCGCACCAATCCCATTCATTGGCCGCACGACATTGGCAGCAAAAACTCGATACGAGTAGCCGAAGTTTGGATGGATGATTACAAAAACTACTTTTATGAAAGAATACTATACAGACTGGTATGTACACGTTGATTTTCTATATTCACATTTAAGCCAAGATAGCAATGCATTGTAATACTCTCTGTTGAATAATGTAACGGTTTTACCTTTAAATTTGGAATACTACTATTATAGTGTGAGCTAGTATTACATACGAAATCTGCTGGCCAAATGGTTAAGAATACTTGGCTCTTATGCGGCAGAGAAATGTTCGAATCGGTCGGTAGTAATTATGTTTTCAGTCAGGGGGGAGAGGGAATACAATTCTTACCTGCATAGTCTGTGACGATTGTACTTAAATGTCTTACAAACATCTCTCCCCCCCCCCCCCCCCCCCTTTAATATTCCCCGCACATGCAGCGCAAAAAATACAGTTTTGTGCAACATACCACAGTCGAACATTGAATACATTCTTTTTAATTCCATAAGCTGCAAATTGTCTCTCTTACTTCCTTCAGAATGCACCTATTTAATATTTGCTCAGGAAACGGGAACAACATTCTGCCAATATCAGTGTTTGTAGTTTCTGTAGTCCGTTGACAGCTACAGTATCATTCAATCTGTTGGTATTTCTGCACTCTGCTGGGATACCAACTCGAACAGCAGATTTTTCTGGTTTGGGATTTCTTCTTTATATGGTTTCTTATCATAGATACAAATCTAAACATTTGTAGGCCTGCTATCTTAGAGTAACAGGATGCTTGTACTTTTGGTGCTTCTAAAGTAACGAGTCTAAGGCACCTAAGGACTGGCAGGCGGGAGTGTACCCATTAAGCCAACGCAGCTCCTTCTTTTCTACCAGGCCATCTAAATATTGTCTTGTATCTACTCTTGAACTGGTTTTTTTAGGCACCCGTAGCTTGCTTTGGAGTTGTGAACGCAGTTTAAAAAATCCGATGTATCTGGGTTGGGGGAAAAATCAAACAGCTAAAGGCGATTTGGTAACATATCGCTTTGTATTTATTTTGACAACTCCGTGATCTTTGTATCGTTCAAGTGGTTTGACACACGGGTAGTAACCCATAAGTGCTCCTTTCTTTCTTCTAACTCAAGCCTGAGTCCGAAAAAGCTCAGCACAGTGCACAGGTTCTTTATCACCGGCAAGGATCCTGAAATACTTTGAAGTTGAATACATTCCAAATGTTCCCAGTGCAGCGCCACTAGGCTACTCTTTTCGATTCCCAACTGCCAAGGGATTGTTTACGTGCGCAACAACGCAACAATGCACACGGGCGTCCGATCTCACTACCCAGAGACCAAGGGGAATTACTAGAAGTCCAAGTTTACGTGAAAAATCCCAGTCCATCCCCGGGATCGAACTCGGAACCTCTAGCACTGGAGGCGGCATCATGCATCGAGACCATTCTATCTACTAACTAACCTATCTAAAGGTAGTTTTTTTCTCTTTGAATATATATTTAATTCTTCTACTTTCTTTCATTGCTACATTCATCTAAAAGTAACTATTTTTTTTAACCGTATATTTGTTTCTGTTTTCATTCATCTAGTTATCATTTATTCTTTTCAAGTGTATGTTCACTTCTTTTGCATAGATGTATCTAAAAGTCGTTATGCTTTTTAAGTATTTATTTATGTCTCTTGACGTAGATATTCTCTTTAAAAGTATGTTTACTTCTTTCGCTTACTGTTATCGAAAAGCCTCGCTTACATTTTTATAAAAATTATTTTGTTTAACGTCTTCTGCTAACATATTTCAGTATAGTTTATATAACATAAAAGGTCTTCTGTAATAGTATGTATATTTTTTTTGCTCTTACACTTATATGATATTAGTATGTGATTTCTAGGGTAACTATGGGGACGTGACTGAGAGGAAACAGCTTCGAGAACGTCTCAAGTGTAAGAGTTTTGAGTGGTATTTACGTAACGTTTACCCGGATGTTGCATTGCCCTCCAACATCAAGTACGCTGGGGAGGTAAGTAGCGTGTATCTTAACCGAACATTACGTTTTAACTTATATTGTCAAAGGAAAAAAAATATGGAAGAATGAAATAGGTCTCTGGATAATTGTTGTTATGAACAGTTAAAAGACAAAGACGATAACGATATGCTGGGCAAATCCGGATGAAGAGGGGACATAAAAGCACACGTAGAGAAAAGAAGCTGGAGAATGAAGTTAACAGATAAAGGACGACATGGGATGAGCTTCATGCAATAGCAAAGGATAGGCTGACCGGCATACGTTGGCTAAAGGCTTATTCTCCATCGTGGGATAGGGAACGGAAACAGAAGTAGAAGAAGACGTAGTCTTAACAAAAATAATTTTATGTCTAATCAAAATGGGTTTTGACTAAAAATAGTTTTTAAAGTTTCATAATTCTGACAGTAAGAAGAACTCCACAGGGGAGCATGCACACCAGGGGTCTCCCGATCATCAGTAAAGAGATCCATCGTCGACAATTGTTTCCGGCCCATTACTTCCCTAGACAATCTCGGAAGATGGACCGACATGGGTCATAAAGCCAGGCCTCTATCTTCACCTGCTGCACTTCATCGGACTCAATAGAGACAAAACGATATGGTAACTTTGCAACTGTGATTATAGTTAGTTGCGTATCCTTTACAGGACGTTGCAGAACCAACCCCAGCATTGGCTGTTGTAGTTTATCTAAGCAAATTTAGGTCCAGTAGTTTGCCAGTGCTCTCTGGACGGTCGGCTTCTCGATACCACTGTCGAAACCAACTCGAGACGCAAAGCACGAAACTGGGATCGAACCCGACACACCGACATTACAAAGCGCGTGCGCAACGCCTAAGCCACAGACGCTGACCTGTCAGTATTACATTTGCTCAAAGTGCATTTGCAATGTCTTCATTATTTCACCATGCAGATCCGAAGTGTTGCCTCCCCGCGATGTGTAGACAGTATGGGCGGACCCGAACAAAAGCAGCATGCACCAAAGATGTATCAGTGTCACGGGCTGGGATATAATCAGTTCTGGTATTTTAGTGAAAATGGTCAAATTCATCAGGATGACTGGCACATCTGCGTCTCAAATGGGCAGATTGTCACCAGAAACGCCTGTACACCAGATGGTGCCACATGGAAGTACAGAGAGGTAAGTTAGATACCTTGTTCTAGAAGAATAAATTTTCCCGATATTGATTGACTAATCCTCCCCCCCCCACCCACCCCACCCCACCCCCACCCCATCCCCCTATCTTGGACGGTGTTGTATTGTAGCTAAATCTGCGTTGCTTAAACCTTACCGGAAGAGGGCGTCACACCTCCATAGACTGCAATAAAAAAACAAAAATGAAAGGAAACGTAGATTGGGATTGGTGAATAATTTAACCTAAAAGACGAGAAGAGTTTTCATAACAATTTGAAGATTGGCTAGTAAACAAAATCTTGTCTTAGAAGCTGAAATATGTTGGCCATATCAAAAGCCACAGGGGATTACAAATAATAATAAAAATAATAATATAAATAATAATAATAATAATAATAATAATAATAATAATAATAATAATAATAATAATAATAATAATAATAATAATAGAAGGCACGCTACCAGGAAAGAGAGGCAGGGGCCGATCAACGCCTTCTCCAGCTGAAAGGTCATGGTGATGACGTCATCACCTTGTCGTAACGTCACCAACCCCGGCTAACGATACGTTGAGTTTTTACTCTGACAGTCCTGTTGACCCGTTTGTGTGTGTTTGCGCGTGTGTGTGTTCCCTGCCTTTCACAGAGTACTCCGCACAAAAATTCTAGGAATAAGCTCTAGAATGTAATGCGGAGATATGTATATACACATATACAAACTAAAATGGAACACTAGAGAAAAATATTTTAATAATAAATAATAAGTATAGCTTATACAGTTGATATGTTTATTTAATCTCTGTAATATTATCTTCTTAAAATATATCAGTTCCTTAATGAAAATTAATAACAATACATTCTAGAATGTTTTTTTTTAGACACTTAGGGGAGGAGGAAAGGAGGAAAAAAAAGGGGGGAAAGGGGGGGGGGGGGGTTGAGGGTTTTAAAAAAACGGAGGAAGGACGCCCAGTATATTCGCAAAATAGTATCTTTGTCCTCGCAGTATATTTGCGATATGATCCTTGTCGCACAGTATATTCGCAGTGTTTTTCTTATCCACTCTGTATATTCGCAATATTATCCTTCTCCACTCATCATACACCAAATTCGCAGTGTATCAGTGTATGACATAATATGGAGCTTGAAAAAAGAACTAAAGTTCCAGTTGATTGAGAATTTGAAGGAAACGAGTATTTGAAACCCGTATATACAAATATGTCGAGAACACGTGGTTAGCTGCAGGATGCGGTTAAAGACACGGATCTTGGAATGATTTAATTGGGCGCATATGCTGCACTTTAAATTCTATTATTATCTATTAGCCATTCAGCATCGCATTATTATTATTATTATTAAAAAGTGTGTATCAGTCCCAATGTATCAAAAAGTGTTTTGTTTTGAATGCGATTATATCACTGACAAAATGCACTATTTATCTCTTGTCACAGGATAAGACGATACTTCACATTCCAACCAACCAATGCCTCACTGCAAGTGTGACACGTGACGACCTTTCACTAGCTAACTGTTCAGGCAGTAACTACCAGAAATGGGAGCTTCAGCCACGAAGAAAAGATATAAAGTTTCCAGCATAGCGAACATCATTGTTAATTGTTGTAAATTATTGTTTTTTCAAGCGGTGAACTCTTTTGTAACAATATAAGAAGAGATTGAAATTTAAAAGATTTAGCAATATCTTGGTCTTTGATTAAAAACACAATTGTTGCTGCAAGGACCATTTTCTATATTTCGGAGTTAAAAAGAAGACAAATATTGCTAAAATGAAGACATTCGATAACTGCCATGGATAATTTACATTAGTGGCCTACACTCTAAACTCCGACGTTACTGTATATCATTTGTGATAAAGAGCTGATTAACTAATGTTAGAGAGGCAGGCAAAGAAGAAGAAAGAAAGATGGAGACAGAGAGAGAGAGAGAGAGAGAGAGAGAAGAGAGAGGCAGATATACAGACAGAGGGAAAACGAATACACACAAGAGATCCAGAGAGAGAAGCGAGAGAGACGCATACATACAGAGCGAAAAAGAACAGATATTGGATATCTCCACAAAGAGGGAAGCAGAGAAAAAAGACAGATGGAAAGTCAGAAACGAGAGAGAGGCATACAGACAGACAGAATGGAAAATAATAGACACTGGAGAGAGACAGAGAAGGAGGCAGAGAAAAAAGAGAGAAAGATGGAGAGATAGAGAGAAGTAAGAGAGAGTTTGCAATTGTTCTGAATAAGTTTTATTGTCAGTCTGTTTTGTTCTTCAGCGCTAAAAACATCAATGTTTTGAAGAAATAGGAAGTACATGATTCTTTCCTACATTAAACAATCTGTTCGGAGTATGAAACTACCCAAGTGTTTTATAAACCATGTGGCTAGTGGTAAATATCACGCTTTTACTTCCCGGAGAATTTATAGTAATAATATTACACTGCTATGACATGATAACCAAGTCAATCTAAAAACAAATCAGTATTTCAGTGAGGTTTCGATTTGAAGAGCATCAGACCTGCAGGTAAGCGAGCTAACTACTGCACTTCAACGGCTGTCTAATAACAAGGGTGTTCGCATCTGTAGTTTTTCTAGAGAATAGTTTTATTCAGGGCTTTGATATTGTTCCACAACCTGAGTGTTGCATGCACATCCGTTTAACACATCCGACTTCCTTGTATGTAGATTGTTAGTTCCTTGCCTCTCAGGCAGATGCACTCCAACTTCAAACGAAGCTCCCCAAAACCCACCTAATGGTCTGATCTGAGCATACGATCTGAGCAAGAAGAAGATATCATTTTGCATACTCAAATATCAGTAAATGACACACTGAATGAAACACACTTCAAGTTTTGACACACACACACACACACACACACACACACACACACATATATATATATATATATATATATATATATATATATATATATATATATATATAAATATATATATAATGATATATTATTTACCTTGATAGTAATAACGGTTAGCATAATATTAGCTATTTAAAAGGATTTCATATTGTATCTCACATTATCTAATACTTTATTTACTGGCATATGTTGCACGAAGACTCCGATCTCATATTGTGAATAGGCTTGCTGGCTTCTGATGTTTTGACAAGTTATTTTTTTTTTCTAGCAATGGTTTTATGGTGCAATGTTCCCATTTTTCGACTAGGATTCCAGTGGTTCCATCGCTCAGCTACTGAACTGAGTGCTTGATGCAACACTTAGCTGTGCATTTAATTTGAAATGTGCTTTCTTCTTTTGCATCCACACCAATTATGTGTTGTGAACTGCAGTAAAAATGACAGTTGGCCATGGTCGAAATGGTATGTACGTATGCAGTAGAACATATGCAATGGAGGTTTTCATGATTGACTGCTGGAATCAGCAATGGGCTACAATTATAGTGGGAGACTGATAGTGTTGGCACATTGACAGCTGCCTTATGCATTTAGTTTGCATGCGTGAGCTTCAAGATTGCCATGGGAGTGACATGTTCTTCATTATGTTTTAATCAGGACAGCGAAAAACATTTTGTATGATTTCTACTGTCACAGGAGAAGAGCAGTTGTTGGGAGACATGTCTACAGTCAGGATAGAATCTTCACCAACGACTAATGGCATGTTATTGTATGAAATTGAATTTAGTATTAAGTACACATATTTTTATCTCTTTCAGTCGTAGGTACATGGTATGTTAATTCCTTATGTCATAGATGTGTGAAAGAAAGGGTTAAAGCAGCTGTAGGCACAGACTGAGTCGGTGTAACACTTGTCTGTAACGTAACGAGTTAAAGAAATGGAAGCGCATAAGCTGAAATCCACAAATGTATAGCGAGGTGTTTAAAAAAAAAAGGTACTTGCGTATCCATTACAGGACGTTGCAGAACCAACCCAGCAGCCCCTGGCTGATAAGTGGTTTCCCTAAGCAATTTACGTCCAGAAGTTTGCAATTCCTTCTGGACGGTCGGCTTTCTTGATACCACTGTCGAAACCTACGCAAGGCGCATTGCCCGCAGCTGGGATCGAACCTGGCATCCCGGCATTACGAAGCGAAGCGTTCGCATCGACTTAGCCACAGAGCCGACTATGTGTTTCAAACCAAATTATAATAAATAAAGTAAAAGTAAGCTTGTGTTTCAAGCCTAAACTGCCCAAGAGCCAACCAAGCTTAATGAAACGGAACCAGATCCCCTTTGTGTTCCAGGTCCCATTTGGTTTACAAATAAAAGGAATAGACTCACTGCTTCTCAAAAAAGCATCTTGTTAAATGTGACTTAATATAAATTTACTGGATGCTTTGGGTTGAAAGGTACAGATATTGCAGCTTAGCTGTAATCCACACCACAAGATGCCAACCGCCCTTTTAGGTGGCTAGCAAGCAGAAGAAGAAGAAGAAGAAGAAGAAGAAGAAGAAGAAGAAGAAGAAGAAGAAGAAGAAGAAGAAGAAGAAGAAGAAGAAGGAGGAGGAGGGGATGGGGAATTGAACTAGAGATATCTTTTGAAAAAGGGTTGAAAAATATGTTAAAATCTTCTTCTTCTTTTTTTTTTTTTTTTTTGCGTTCTGTTTCGTATGCTCAGATCAGACCATCAGGTGTGTTGCCTCTATGAACTCGTAAGTCAGCAGCAGGTCCTTCATGTCTCTCCATAGCTTGTTCTGCACACTTTGCTCTTGAGACCAGGTTTCTCTTTAAAATTGTATGTAGAACAGGCAGGTCTGCAGAATTTATTCAGGTGCTTGTGGTCCTGTCTGACAGGCACTGTGGGGACTGTACAATATTTATTTTAAGCATGTGGTAGCTGAGCCTGCAGTGTCCTGTTTGTAGACGGAAAATTGTTGTATGTTGCTTTGTGTTAAGTCTTTTAATGGGGTATTGTGGATGTTCACTGTTGGTTTGTTCTGTCTAAAATTCCTTGTATTTTTACTGAATGAGTGTTTTGATTTCTGGTAATGACAATAAACGGATGTGTTGTTTCTCCTTTGTTCCATTTTTTTGGCAAGTATGTCTGCTTACTTATTTCCTGGTATGTCGCAGTGACCAGGGATCCACTGGAGAACGATTTGATTGTCTTCTGAGAGTCTGTTTAGCTAGCGGGTCAGTTCTCTCTCCATGTTGTCTCGTGGATCCCTCTGAGGTGCCTGGTGAAATTAAATGCAGTCACAAAGAAAAACAGTTTTGCAGTCATTTACATTTTCTTTCCTCAAACACTTTGACTGCATCAATAATTGCTTGTTGCTCCGCTCTTGAGTTTGTTGGGTGTCTTCCGGAGGCGTATGATGTTTCTACTGTGGTCCCATCTGGCAGCATGATAACCGATTCAGCTCTTTCGTTGTTTTTTCTGCTCCATCAGATGATCCATCAGTGTAAGCGTATGTCAATTCGGGTTTTGGATAAGAGTTGTAGACATGTTCAAATGTCTTTGCATGCAGTACTAGGTCATATTCTTTAGTCTTTCTGTCTATCCCTGGGATTTTTGTTGTCAGTGTATAGTTAGGCTGTAGGTCTATGCTGTTGTCAAGATCTTTTCCCACGTTAAAGGGTCTTTAGAAAGGATATCACTGTTTTTGGCCTTTTACAGTTTTGATAGATGGTGGAAGCTTTATCTTTTCAATTGGTTTTTAGTTAAACTGTTGGCTATTCTGTGCATGGGGTTGTTATTCATGCGTTAAAATTTTTCTGTTAGGGTAAGCACTTTTTCAAGCTGTGGCAGCCCGAAGTTTCCTCTAGCTCATTGATTTCTGTGCTTCTCATACCTGCAGTGACGATTATGAGACCAGTATTCTGTATTCTGTCCAGTTTGTATAGATTTGATTTGGCTGCAGGGGAGTATGCTCCCATGCCATACTCCAGTTTTGGTCGTACGTATCCTTTGCATACTTGTCGTACAGTGTTGACATGTGCACCCCGGCTTGTTCAAGTAGGTTTCTTCGTAAGTATTAGCCGCAAAGTCTTGCCAAATTTTGCTCCCAAAAGAGGAAAACCCCACATGTGTTAAAATAATCTACTTCTGTGTTTCATATAAAGTTTTGTTGATCTAGTGGTTAAGGTTTTTGCTTGCCAACACAGTGCTATTGATTCAATTTCCCCAGGAAAGCTAACCATGTCAAAACAGCCTACAAAAGTAAGATGTGTTGGTGTAATAAACTATTTTGGCGGAATTTATCGTCGCCTGGAGATCCCCTATATCCTTTCAAATAACTTACAGGACTCGAATTAAATAAGTCTAGGGGAATTATAACGGTCCCTGAGTTCTGGAGAATAAAGGAAGGACAATACAGAAAGTTAAATAAATACGGTGAATCCCCGGAAATTTCTTAAAGAAATTCAGAAACAAACCAAAGGTCAATACTTTATAAATTTAACTCAAATCAACTGCAATGAACAATCTTTAGTCTACCTAAGAAGTTAAATTGGATACGATGAGTTCGATCATTGAAGTTTCCAAACATCAACTGTATTGATAAATACTGTTTAACTATTTCAACAATCTACAATTAACACATCGAAAATGAATAACGGTTTCATCATGACACCACATTAATTTGCACAAACATTCAGTAACACTCAGCTTTACGATATACGGGATGTGTCCAACTGCAGCTTCTCTGGGAGGAATGTACAAGGTTCTGGCTGCGACCGTTATAGTCCTTGCCTAACTGCGACATTTATCCGTGAATTTCGGTTTTTCATTCTATACAGTGTGGTTCACAATTCACGAGGTAACAGGAATGGTGGTTTACGATCCACAGGTAACAGGAATGGTGGTTCACGATCCACAGGTAAACAGGAATGGTGTTAACGATCCACAGGTAAACAGGAATACAGGAACCTGAGGAATACATCATTCAGCCCTGTGTTGATCATTATGTCGACACATCTGGGGCAGGTGGAGGTGTTGCGGTGTTTGTGGTGTTTTCAGATTAGTAAGGGAAAGAGCAAGGTTCATGTTTTGTCTTTCTCCACTAGCAAATCAATAATAATCTCTCCACCCTGTTATAATATTTTGTTTTATACATATCTAAATTATTGCACGATCATATGAAACTAGACATAGTTAAGTGGACACACTCTCGCCTGCGGATTGGACAGTCATTAGTTCAAGTCCCAACAGACCCAGGTCGACTTCGCCTTGAACGGACACCAGTTATAGTCATGGGGAGTAAAGGCGGCAGGTGTGATGTTGAGCACATCAACATCCAGGTACCACTTGGTCTATAAAACTTAGGCCAACCCTATATGCCCACAAAGCTGACAACTTTTACTCAAATTATATGTTGCATAATATAATAAACATAAGCAATGTAATGTATACCCAACTGATGATACCACATGGCACAGGATGATGGTTTATATTGTAAGATCTTTACGCAAGGAAACCAAATGAATATTTTCTGGAAAGATGACAGAGGAAAGGAGGGTTCGCTATTGTATGGTCCTAACTGTGAATAGTATCTTTAAGAACGTCATAATATGTAAGGACTAGTGAATTGTCCAACGGACAAGTATCAAGGTTGATGAAGTCACGGAATATTTATACAATGGTAGAATATAGAATAGTAGGATCTCGATAACATATTTTAGGATACAGCTAAGGCTTATAGGGGATCTCAGCTACTCCCTACCATTATAAATCTCACCTGAATTCGTATATTATTATTGGTATTTCTTGGGGTAAGGCCGATGATGTGGCTGGGCATTCGTTTGGTGTTGTTGACGAATCTAGCTCTAAGGGTTTCTCCTAGTAACACTACTAACGTCATAATTTATGTGCCCCTTCGTACAATTTCTATTCCTCTATGTTCGTCTATGTTCAACTATGTTTATTTTACGTGCGCAATTCTTTTAACTAAAAAATGCAATTAACTCTTGCCGGACTGAAATATTCCGTTGTTTTGTCACAGTTGGTCAAAAGGAACAACAATGGTAGCCATGCTGTAAGTGGGCTCAACGCCTTTACGTCTTTGGATGAACGCAGCAGAATAAGAAGCCGAAAATTCCATTTCCCATAAAGTATATCTCTGAAGTTAACCATGACAAACAGATACTAGACAATTTTTAAGGCAAATCTCTGAGAAGAAAAGGCTACAAGGAAGTGAAATTGTTAGCCCACTTTGCATGGCGTGGAAGAAGATCACTAACACTTTATTAGGGATACCTCGAGGTTACGAGATGTGCTCGCCGACTGGATGCCTGGAGCTGTTTCCACAATGTATTGGACATCGGCCAGTAATTCCTCAAGGAGCGAGTCTCTAAAATATACGCAGCGTCAGAGGGGCGGTCACTGGTAATCACCAAAAGGTGGATCTGCATAGTTTGGCCAAGATGCAACAGCAGCCAGCTGGGTATACATGGCTGAGGTTGAGTCATGCCGTGTGAAATTTCTGCCGAGGCAAAAGGATTAGAAAGTGGGACAATATATCCTTATTCATCTAATGCTATTGATTTTCAACCAATTCAAAATAATCTGAATGCTACAACCGTAGAATTCGTTCAGCCTTGCGTTTTGAAATTAAACAGGGGCTACTGTGAGTATTGACGTAGTAAAGTAATCCCCTAGATACTATGCAACAGTGTGTGCAATACAGCTTAAGTACAGCACAACGTGGAGGCCTGCCTTGTGTGTCAGAAATGAGTAAATTCAACACGTAAATTAAAATCACTTCTTGGATGTTCTCATAAGTATTCAGTATATTCAGCATTACTGTGTTGCAAGGTATAGATTACAAGTTATAAGTTAAACTGATGTGATTTCGTTATCTAACCGTATGTGACAATACTCAAGAGCCTGATAAACATTCAACTTAAGGGTGAGTCAAATACCTTTAGAAATTGACAGAGATTAAATATGATGAATTAAAGAAAAGCGAAGAAATAAGATTAGTGATGGGACAAACATTGGTATCAACAGTTATACAGCAGTCAAGACCATTATATACAAAGCACATCACGAGAAGCGACAAGAGAATCGTCAAAGCACTTAAATGGAAACAGATGCATTTTGAAAAGAAGACGAAAGCAGATAAAAGAGATCAAAGGTGACTGACTGAATTAAAACAATTGAACATGATATTATAAAAAAAAAGGGGCCGTAAACTGCCATTGCTAAATAAAGTTTAACAGCATAACAGGCAGTGCCGTCTGAAAGCATGTGTCTGCTGTGCACCTGCTCGGGACCTGTACGATTTTAAAGGCACTATGTGTTTTTGTCAACTGAGTTATGTTAGTGTTTTCACAATCGACGTCACTGCAAATGGGGCATTCCCAGGCGGGCTCAGTCCTCTGATGCAGCAACCACTCCAAGGTATTTCTGCAGACTGTTCCAATAAGAGGTTGGTTATAATTCTCCTATCTCGGCCTTGAAGACGGCATAGTCAGCTGAGTGGTTGTGGTAGGAGTTCCAGCACAGTGGTCTGCCCAAGGGATAAGGATAATGTTAAGACGGATCTGAAAACAGGATAGCGGTGATTATGAAAGGATGAATGAGTTTATGCATCTTATAGTGTATGTTTCCAGGTAGACCGTGTGCACATGTATGTTTCGCACTGGGTGACAGCGTCAAGTGTTTTTCATATTCCGTGAAGATTGCCACAGTAACAGGTGATCAGTGTGATGTTCATGGTGCGGGGTATATTAGGAATATCTCAAGATTACGTGGCGAGGCTGGATGCCTGGAGCAGTTTCCACAAGATTTTGTGCATCAGCATGTTGTCCCTCAAGGTCAGTCTCTGAGATATGAGAGATGTCAGAGGGGCCATCACGGGTACAGCAAGTGATAGACATTTAATTTGATTTCTCACTGGTACTGAAACGGAGCTGCAGCGAATTTGAAACCTCGAGTAAGACTATAGTGCGTTTGAAAACCCATGCCGTCAAATTTTAACAAATATCTGGAAAAATCCTGTACCAATCAACACAAATGTGTTGCATATAACTTTAGATTTACCATGTCCTTATAATTAAAAAAAAATAATTGCGCAGATGCTGCCGATTTCTTAAAGCGGTGAATTTCTTTGAACTTTGTTTGACTAATACTTTATCTCTGAAAATCTTTATCGCCATGAAAATAGAAAATACAGCAATGAACACACCTATGGAGTTTGTTCTCATGTGCAGTGATGCGTGGTGATTACTTTGATAGCATATTCTCCACACAATAAAGCATTCACAACTCACAGAAAACTTATGCTGAGGATGGCCATATATATATATATATATATGTGTGTGTGTGTGTGAATGTGCATGTGTGTGTGTGTGTGTGTAATGGTAATAGTAATGTTAGTTTTAGCTTCATATCAAACGGGTCACCCCATAGTTACTCCGCGCTTGTGCCAAAACACACAGAATATTTATCACCGTCAATTGTGGAGAGATTGACGGACTGCTGTCTCAGCATAAAAGCGTACCGTAGCCATCAGAAGTGCTAACACAAACAGCCCGACATTAGAATTGCAGTTCATCATCGACGGTAGCAGAGGTAACCAACAAATCAGCCGTTGCACACGCAATCAATTTTAACCTTAAAAGGGCACCACCAATATTGCGACGACAGTCCACGCGCATTTTCTGTATCTACAATTCACAACACCACATTGGTCACAGTCGAAAAACATTCCAAAGGAAATCAGCAGCTCACAGGGTCGCACCATGCACTCAACTCAGCAGTTGGGCTAACTATATCTTTTCATTCTACAAATGGAGCAAAAATGAAACGGCCACCGTCTGGCAGAAGCAAAATCTTTGCAACGACTCAAAACAGTGATCGTGCCTAGCGTCCATTGTGACCGGAAGTGTGTGTGTATGTTTACACTAACAACATTCTTATAAGTACATGTCTATTAACAGGTTCATGCCATATTTAAAAAAAACTTCACTGAACGCTTAGGTTACTGAGTTACAGACTTTAGGAACAGACTATAGGACAAGTATCTTAAAGTTTAGGGCAGTGGTCGGCAAACTCATTAGTCAAAAGAGCTAAAAACCAGCAGCAGGACGATGAAAATTTTTCTAAACTTTCTAAATTCGCTGCAGGATGCCATACCTGGCCATTTTATGACGCTGCCAGTTGTAATTCTCAGTGTCTAACCGACATGGCAGGTTGTACATCATTTTTAAACGATTTTTTTTTTTCTGTTTATGTTTCTGTACAATTCAAATATCTAATACACACTTTCGCGGTGCACTGCTGTATTTTTCAGTACGCAATGAAAACCAGGGCCTACCGACAACTCAAAATACTCATCATTTTTCTGCTTGTTCTCTGGATAGTGTATGCTATAGTGTATGACATTTTGACACACGACACGGAACAAAATAAATTCGACAATTTGCCGCCAAATATAGACAGACAACATCTCATGGACGTAGATTCACAGAGACACCTACCAGACAAGCATCACCTGCTGCAAGAGTCAGAAAATGGAAAACGAGATTTACTACATACAAATTCAGTAAAAGATCATTTTGACCATGCAGAAAGAAGAATAGAACAGAAAGAGAGAAGAAGCCATCCACAGCTTGATAAACTTGCTGAGACTGGAGGGATTGTGATACAAAAGAAACCGGAATACGTTTTCGCAAATGTTACTCTACCTTTGTTCAATAACAAAACGGATGGTTCTGGACCAGGTCAGACTGTTTGAACTATTTTAACAATTAATTTTAGGAGTCAATATCTTACGTTGTGTGAGTGGTGGTGGCATAAAAATGAAGATAATGTATGCATGTATGTATTCATTTGAATTTATGCATATATTTGTACACATGTTTGTTTTTAAGAATGTATAGGTCAGTGTGTGTGTGCGCGCGCGCGCGTGCGTGCGTGCGTGCGTGTGTGTGTGTGTGTGTGTGCGTGTGCACCTTCAGGCCCACATCAGACATCTGATCACATCCATGCCCAGGTGATGCCAGTCACGCAAGAGGAGACCAAACACCATACTAACGAGAAAGACCTAGCCAAATAATTATCTTTACCCGGATGGGAAAAAACGTGACAATTGATTGGTGGAACCCTAGGGTATTCTTGTGTGGAATTTGAGTAATTTCAGTTACTGCATTACAAAGAAACAGAATTTCAAAATTTTTAGTATGTATGTTCCTTTCGGTAACTATCTGTTTCTTTTCTTTTTTCTTTTCTTTTTTGTTTTGAACAAGAGCCTATGAAAACTACAGGCCTTTTTTATATGTGCAGCTGGTATGTGACAAAGTAAGCGAGAAATGAGCTGCATTTATAGTGTTGGTCTGTTTTACTGGCATTTTAACGGCTGCCTTATGAATGTAATGCCTGTGTTTGCCATTGGCTTTGTTGACACTGCAGTATGTTTCAATGGTTTTCGTTGGCATGGCGAGGGAGGGGGTGGGGGGGGGGGGGTCAACGAAGGGGTGACCCGTTTTCTATAAAGTTGGAACTGGGACTACCCTAATTATCTGAAAGTATACGAGAGCATTCATGGCAAATCGTGCTGCAGGGCATGACTGGCCGATCTGGCCGACATTCACATCCAGGAGAAAGGGAGACTACTGTCTAAATTATAATTAGAACTGCTGAATTTAAAGACGTGCCTCTTTTGGGAAAATTCTGCTTGCTATGCTGTTGATTCTTAACTTAATTTATGGACAATCAGAAAGAGAATAATCAATTTTAACATAAATTGACTTGATTTGTTTCCTATGCGACTTTAATTGACAAAAAGAGTAAACAGTTACATGTTCACGAGTGGAAAGTATCAAACAGAAGTTTTATAAGGTCTCCTCGACTTTGCCACCAGGTTCCGTTCCAAATAAAATGTGTGGAACTGGTCGTAAGTCGAATGTATGTTTTTGTGCGTTGTTCTGGGATGGCGTCTGGCCATTGTGTTGAGAGAGACAGTCTTGAGGGATAAAACCTGATGCAATGAGGTCGTTCCTCTCGACTTTTTAAATTTAACCTTTCATGTTAAATGAAAATAGCCTGTCGGTCCTACTTCCTCACTGTAGGTGGTAAAAAGTAAAGGACCCTTTTCCACGCCTTTAGGCGCAAAGGGCATATAGGGCTAGACCTATATTTTTAAAGACTCTTCGGCATAAGATGGGTGATGTGGCCAGCATCACGCCGACCGTAGGTGGACTGTGCATTGCATATTAAACACTGTGCATTTGCCCTTTATATTCTACAATTGTCGGTACTTAATTTTTTTGTTTACACCAAACAAAGGAAATCTCGGCGTCCCTCAGAAAAGTCAAATATTCTACAGGCTTTATGGGTTGGGTTCAGTGTTAGGGTTAGTCGGCGTCTTTAAGGCGGTCCTGGCTGACAAAGATCAGTTTCATTTTCGCGCTGACTCTAAACCTAAGACCATCCAATAACACTCCCTGTTACTTTGGACTTTCCTGGGGACTCTTGGATTTACTTTTTTGGGGCTGAAAATTAAAGTACTTTGCCTGTTTATCTGTCAATGTACACAAGTAAAGAAAGAGATGGACAGTTGCGCTACGAGTTCCGGCAAAATTATGTCTGTTGTATTCTTCTGAATGCTGTTGCAGTATTATAAATTTACTGTATCTCTAATACAGGAGAGTTGGGTCACCCGGTGAAAATCGATGTCAACAAACTGTCGAAAGAAGAGAAACTAAGATATGATAATGGCTGGAAATCAAACAGCTTCAATCAGTATGCAAGTGACCTAATATCTATCCACCGGAGTCTCGGCGATGGAAGAAGTCAAGCGTGAGTTCTGCATTTATTTTAAAAATGAAGCGATATAAGATATAAATGTGAATCTCCATGGAGAATAGTTTTTTAATAATGACCCTGGGCTTCCGTGACAGCCCAGTGTAGCACAGCGCTGTTATTTATGTAAGATGATGTCGTACGCAGGTTCATCTTTAGTTTGCAACAGGAGGAGTTAAATGAAGAATATAGACGAGGAGAAAGATGGTCGTGTCGATAGTTGTGATGATAGTCTCCCATGCTTGCTGCATGCTTCTCGCGAGACTCTGAAAAATGTTTTGAAACAACTTTTTTTCTGTACTGTCTTTATTGTGACACTTCAGTAATGTCACAAACAACATCAGTGGTATTCTGAATGGCCGCTGTTTTAACTCTATGGTTACATAGTCTTAGTGTGCGCACTTCTTGCAGGTGTTAAAATTATGATCGTACTATGTAAAATCGTTAAAAAATATGTACACACCCCAAGCAAATGTTACCAATCTATCGTACAAACTATGCACATATGTAAACAAAATCAGGGGCACCGCAACCTGGGAGTTTAGGGACTTGTAGTTGCCCAATAATTTTTAGAGGGGGTAAGGAGGGAGGGAAGGTGCAAAAAAGGGGTGAGGGAGCTCAAGCCTCATGACTATGTATCGTTGTTTTATTTTTATGTGTTTATTGATTTAGAAAAAAAAATTCTAATACATTTATATTATCATGTGTCATTTATTAAATAGTTACAAAATAATGCCCACTTAAACCTAACGCAAGCCCACTAAGGGTGCCTCTCCTTAACGATTTCTTCCTACCAGCGGCCTATTTAATCTGCCGATGTTTTCGTTAAATATACAGTTTAGTTTCCCGTCCCAAAGTGTGCGAGGAACATAGTTACTCTGGATCACAGCTTAACATACCCGTTGCTGAACGGAAGTCAATTTTCTTCTGCAGGTGCAAAAAACAAGCAGAAGAGTACGACAGTTTGCGACTGCCGCAAATAAGCGTCATCATCATCTTCCACAACGAAGCTTGGTCTGTGCTATTGAGATCCGTGCACAGTATCCTGTCGAGGACACATGAACATATCCTGAAGGAGATTATCCTTGTAGACGACTTCTCCGCCAACGGTATCACTCATAATTAGTGAATTTGTAAAGATAGTCAGACGAGTCAAGTATAGCTGGAATACATACATAAGTATAAAAATACAATTATACATACATACATACAGACATACATACATATTAAGTACATACATATGTAAGTACGTTTGTACATACTTACAAACCTAAATGCATGTACATACAACTACATACATACGTACATTCAAGGTCCTGCTGTGCCATTATACGAGGGTAGGTCAATAGGTGAGTCACAAACGATTGTTTAAAATAGAAATAAAATAAAACATAAAGAGATAACAACTTGAAACCGGTCATTTTAACACATACTCTGTTCCTTTATTTTTCGACATTATTTCCACCAATATTGATGCACTTGTTCCATCGTTTTATCAGTCCTGCTAAACCTGATGCATAGAATAGCGTGCTCTGTTTTCTAAACCACATTTTCACTTCATATTAAACTTCTGACTCATTCACGAGATGTATCTAGCCAAAGTGGGTTTTCAGTGGACCAAAAAGGTTGAAATCACTAGGGGCTGTCAGATTCACATTGTCACTAAAAAAAAAAAAAAAAAAATAAAAAAAATTAAAAAAAATTAAATGCCCCTTAGACAGTCCCAGAACATTGTCAGTATAACCTTCCCTGCTGATGGTGTAATCTTGAAATTTTACATACAGGGCAAAGAATGAGGTTCTCACTGCATTTAAGCACACTTTGATTCGGGCTAGTAGTGATGCACCCACACCTGCATATCTTCTCCTTCATCTGCGTTTCGACAGATATGCTGCAAGGACTGGCCTAGTAGACTCATTTTGCATACGTCCGTCAATTGTCTAAGTACCTACCTTGAGCACACTTTCTTAAATTTTAGTGTATCGTGCATAAGGTTATATACTGAACCATGTAAGCACGCTATTGCAGCTGCTACAGAGTCAACCGTTAATCGCCTGTCACATCGAATCATCTCCTCCACCTGCTGCACGGATGTGTCTGCTGAAATCGCAACAGGACGACCATATTTGACTTGATTAAAAATTTTAGAGAAAATATTTTTATCCAGCTATGCACTGCTTACGGGATAAACATTTGTCAGCATAAACAGGAAGCATTTTGTTTATAAATGTGCTTGCAAGAAGTCCTTTTGCCCCCCGTCCCTCAAAAAAAAAAAAAAAAAAAAAAAAAGAAACACGCTCAGCAGCAGGTTGTTCTTTGAGGGTACATTCTTTAGGTACAGTCGCCATTTTACTTCTGTGTTGCAAATGCGCATGAAACACCTAGCGCCACCTAACTTCCGCCTGTCTTGCAGACAAAGTAAGTAAAATGTTGCCACTTAGGCGGATGTTTAAACAGGTAGGAATTGTTTTTAATGCTCATGTCAATGAAAATGAAAATAGCTTATGGATTGTGATCCAGACACACGACGGCTTGGCTGAAGAATAAAATCTCTCTCTCTCTCTCTCGTTCTCTCTGTCTCTTTATATATATATATATATATATATATATATATATATATATATATATATATATATATATATATATATATACATGCGTGTGAAATTGTGTCTGTGTGTATGCAAGTCTTTAGATTTCAGATTAAAGTGGATTTGTGGCTGTGTAAGAAGCCTGAAAGAATTTCTTTAAAATGAAGAAAACATACTGATCTTTATTTAATTCCAATTTCTAGACTATTTGAAGGAGCCGTTGGAAAAATACTTCAATTCCTTCCCAAAAGTACAAATCATTCGTGCGACCAAGCGCCAAGGACTTACACGGGCTCGCTTATTGGGATATTATCTATCTACGTCACCAATAGTTGTCTTCTTAGACTCTCACATAGAATGTTTCCCTGGTAAGTACCTCCTTAGAATCATAATTAAATATTAACCGTATTTCTTTAAGGACTTGTTTAAAATATTATAGTATATGTGTGGCCTATGATGTTTTCCCAGAATCGGCACTAGTGGAAGATAGGGAACTTTACTCGAGATTCAGCCGAAGCCAAAACATTACATGTTCAAAGTGTTTGATTATGCATCGGAAAATTAACCTTCATTGCCATGTGTAACATTAGCAATAGGAATACACATATTTACGCTCTCCTATTCATCTGATATTCTCCGACGCATTAAAGCAGGTGTCTTCCTTACAGTGAAATTTGGCTGTAATCAATCTCTCATACCTTTTGTCACATTGCCTGGGTGTACACGCTTTAAGACTCATGTTTGTCTATCTTTTGATGTTATGCAGCTACTCACATCCTATCTACCTCCTTTTTGCTTATCTTAAACCAGGAAATCAGGTTATTGCAGTTTCAGCTTCATAGCAAACGGGTATCCCCACAGTTTCTCCGTTCCTGTGCCAACGAAAACCAAACATAATATCCATCACTGTCGCTTGTGGAAAAGAATTGACGCAGACTACAGTCTCAGCATATCCGATAGCATTCAAACACATTAATTGCATTAGGCAACCGTTAGAAGTGCTAACAAAACACAGTCCGACGCTAGAAATGCAGTTTGTCATTAATGGAAGTAGCAGTTACAGATCAGTAGTTGCATCAGTTCTGTAATAACAGGTCACTCGCCATTGTTTGGAATCTATTGTTCACAACACGTTGGTCACAGTCGGAAAACATTCTAAACAAACTACGCAGCACACAGTGTCGCGCTATGCACTTAACTCAGTAGCTATGCGACAAAACTATATTCTTTCAGTCTACAAATAGTGGAAAAGGCAATTGCCAGAAGCAAGAAACTTGCCACAACAAAGACAGTAAACCGGTTTATCATACATAATAACTGCAAGTCCTCATGCTTAAAAGCCATTCTTCAGTACGGCCTTCTAAGAGTGTTATATCTTTCAGTATGGCAGAGGTAATAGATCGTTTTATGTTTTTTTTTAAAAATTGAAAACAATTTTTTTTTATTCTTCGCCTGCAAAGTGTCTTTAATTGACCACTTATGCAATTAAACATTTTCCAAATCTAAATTTTTAATGCTTCATTTTGACCTTCTAAGTGCTTGTTCGTTGTTCACATTTTTGGGTCACGTAGTAAGGTTGAGAATTCACAACATTTGACAATTTTCATTTATAATATAGACTAGCTGTACCCGCCACGCGTTGCTATGGCTCAATATGACGAAATGGAAAAGAAAGAAAATAGAACCCGCACGTTTCTAATATGGCAAATAGCACAATAAATATATGAACACTTGTAAAGATTGTCTGTTTTGCAGACTCTAGAACACGCATCATATTATAAGTGTCTTTATATGAGTTAAAATATGGTTATTTATCACATGCTAAAGCTTTTTCAAACAGCTGACAGTAAAGCTTACTACTGTACTTCTAAACTACCAACAAATTCAAAAAAAAAAAAAAAAAAAAAAAAAAAAAAAAAAAAAAAAAATTTAAAAAAATTTGAAAAAGCCAGCTATCCTCCGAATAACGGTCACAAAAGATGGCAAAAAACACCTTATCAGAGCCCCAGTCACGTGTCAATTGCGCACTTCCGGCGACCTAATTTGTAATAGATCGTTTTATGTTTTTTTTTAAAAATTGAAAACAATTTTTTTTATTCTTCGCCTGCAAAGTGTCTTTAATTGACCACTTATGCAATTAAACATTTTCCAAATCTAAATTTTTAATGCTTCATTTTGACCTTCTAAGTGCTTGTTCGTTGTTCACATTTTTGGGTCACGTAGTAAGGTTGAGAATTCACAACATTTGACAATTTTCATTTATAATATAGACTAGCTGTACCCGCCACGCGTTGCTATGGCTCAATATGACGAAATGGAAAAGAAAGAAAATAGAAACCGCACGTTTCTAATATGGCAAATAGCACAATAAATATATGAACACTTGTAAAGATTGTCTGTTTTGCAGACTCTAGAACACGCATCATATTATAAGTGTCTTTATATGAGTTAAAATATGGTTATTTATCACATGCTAAAGCTTTTTCAAACAGCTTAGTAAAGCTTACTACAGTACTTCTAAACTACCAACAAATTCAAAAAAAAAAAAAAAAAAAAAAAATTAAAAAAAATTTGAAAAAGCCAGCTATCCTCCGAATAACGGTCACAAAAGATGGCAAAAAACACCTTATCAGAGCCTCAGTCACGTGTCAATTGCGCACTTCCGGCGACCTAATTTGTGGTTTTCCAGCGACCACCGTCATCGCCGAGAAGTATTCATCCGCATCTCCTGCAGCTTTGCTCGTGAGTCCTAGCCATCTAGTTTAGCCCCAATCAACGCCGCGTGAGCGGCGTGGGGGATACGCTCGGCGGTGACGGTAGTCGCCGGAAAACCGCAAATTAGGTCACTGGAAGTGTGCAATTGACACGTGACTGAGGCCCTGTTTTTGGCCGCCATATTTTGAGCCCCATATTTAGAGGATAGCCGAAAAGCCGAGGAAGCTTTTTATCATAACTAATTAAAAATTTGGGAACTTTAAAATCATGTTTTAAGCTCTCTCAATTACAAGTGTCTGACGTAACCCCCCCCCCCCCCCCCCCCCCCCCCCCCACTTTTCTTTTTTTTCCCAATCCACCGACAACTCCTCTCTCCCTCTCCAAAGGATTTGAAATTCATTACCTAATAATATATTTTTTTTTTCTTTTACCTAGGCATCCGTGTCCATCTAGACTAAAATGGTCAGCATAAATTGTAATGAGAAGTGAATGCGGCCAGTGTAATTTTTACCACATAATTTATTATCTCATACAGCTTCGTGCGTATTTCTGAGGTCATTAGTTAAAGTTCGCCTACAACAAGCGCCAGGAACGCGGCAACGAAACAAAATCCAAGATGCCGACGTGACCGTCACTGGAACTATGTAGTTCGTACTTTGTGCATCACTCTTATTTTAAAAACATTTTCGTATTTGAATGCAGCATTTTGTCAAAAGTTGAAAGCAGTAGGTGAATATCTGTCGGGATACAGCTTCATGCAGATTTCTGAGGTCAATAAAGTTTGCCTACCAGCGAAAGTAAAAACCCGCGCCGAGAATGCGGTAACGAAACAAAAACTGATGTGATCGTCGCTAGAGCTATGTTGTTCGTCCTTTGTACGAAACTCTTATATAAAAACACGCGCGTATTCGAATACAACGTTGTGTAACAATTTGAAAGCAATCGGTGAAGAACTTTCGGCGATTAGCTTTTGCTAACAAAGGAACACTAACATTTTTTTTTAAATTTATATCTTATTTCGTTGTAAACATTAATTCTTATTATATATTTAATTCTGAAAGGTTGGGCGGAGCCTCTGATTGCTCGAATTAGCGAAGATCCAACTACGGTTGTCTTCCCTATCATTGAGGTAATAGACGAGGATGACCTACACACCAGATGCAACTCAACTCTCAACCAGAATGCAATTTTCCGTTTTAAAGACCTGACTTTCCAGTGGCAAGTGATTTCAACTGCTGAAACGAACAGGAGGAGAGATGACGCAAATTTTATAAGGTTGACAATCATACTTTCATGCTACAATAATAGTGCAGTCAATCTCTCGATGGTAACGTTTCCTTTACGCTTTCAAATTGCAAAAGAGACAGGCAGAAGAGTGTTGCACACATTTTTATGCTTATTAAGATTACTCACCCACTTTAGCCAGCAGCTTATTTCGTAATTGTATGGCACCCCGACTTCATCTTTATTACACTCGTGATGGATTTAGCAAAGGCCCTTTTTCCACGCCTTTAGGCTATATGGCATATTGGGATTAACCGATAATTTTTGTATACCAATCGGCAGAAGATGGGTGATGTGGCCAGCATCATGGCGGCTGCCTTTACTTCCTGGAACTGCACCCGGTGCCCACTCAAGGTTGGGTCGACCTGGGAGTAAGGGTCATTTTTGAAAAAAGTGCGGCTCCACTGTCGTGGAGTGAACAGCCAACCCTTCTCTGTGGACTAGTCGTGACGCTGGCGTCCCTAGCTGGTACGTCACATTTCAAATTTAAACCCGTCCGGGGAGGGGGGTGTGTTATTTAGTCTCTCATATTGAGATATACCTCTGTCTGGTGAAATAAACATTTCTGGACCCTCTAGTTGTTTTGAGAAGTCTACATTTTTAAAATTGCAACTGTGGGATGAGTAATTTCTTGAATATTTTTAGAAATTCCTGTAAGCCTTTTTACTCCTTGGGCACGAATACAGACTTCTTTTCTAGAGACGCCAAGCGGAATTTGCCAGACCTCCGAGGTGTCGGGGGACATTTTAATTCTCTCATTAAACTTTGGCGATTTCAAAATACCAGTTTAATTTTTGAAGGATTCCTAAGCTTGGGTAAGTTGATTTTAGTTTACGAGTACCATGAAATATAGGCCCCCTCAAGGTTGGCCACTGCTGCCGGGAGGGAAGATTCGGCTGTGTGACCGCACATAACTGGGCCGTTCTTGATATCCAGACACTCCAGCCCCTAAAACCAAACCTTTCCCTTTGCGGGCTAATAGTTTGTGCTCTACATAACTCACACCATTATTAAGATATTAAACCCAACAAGTTAATTATTCTCTAACCAGACAACGGAGTTTGTTTCGACTAGCAGACATATGTAAACTGGGTCATCCTTCAGCCGGCTAGATGCTGTGACGTCAGAAGCTAGGTGCTCTGAGTCAAAGGTTAATTTTAGCACAACAACAATGGGTGTGCAGTGGGTAGATTGTGGAGATAGAATGTATGTCTGCGGGTGCAGATAGGAAGGTGGAGAGTGGATGATTGATCTATGTGTAGTAGTGTCTATCTATCTCCACTATGTACCTTGTCTTCTATCTGGTGTACTGACTTACAGACAGATAAATGAAAGGGGAAATTGTCTCCTGTTCTTGAGGGTATCCTCTGAGTGACTGAGAAGGGTAGCGGGAGATAAATTGAGCTGGTGTGTGAGTCTTAAGATGATTACTAATTCTGAGTTCTTTCCTGACAGGATGATACCTCCTTAGAAGTCAGGCAACCGAGTCACAGTCCAGCCAACAATCACCAACCCATACCATCCCTATCACCAAACCTACCCAAAATCCTACCTATTGTTACCAGAACTTCAACATGGCAGGAGCTTGTGTGTGAGTTTAAGTGGCTGAGAGACAGTATTGCAGGCCACTTGTGTCATCAATCCAAAGAATCCTTCTTTCGGAGTTTTGTTGGGCTCCAGTGCAGTTCCTTTGTCTTCATATGTGAAACGATCAGTGGTTACCAGATCAACCCGAGGAAAAGCGATCTATTGAGTCAGCCGGTTCAAATCACCATGGACTGACCTACCAAATCTGATATGTAACTTCAGAGACGACATACCATATGCTCCATTTACATGGCTACCTATGATTTACTGTGTTGATTCATGTACTCTCTGTGAACTATTTGGCTGTTTCAACACCATCGCTGTGACGTTAAGTCCTGAACTCCATTCACTGGAAACCATCTTGATTGTCATGAGATTTTTATATACATATATATATAAGTTGCAATCATTACATCCATTCAGAAATTTTCATGGCTGACTTGGATGTCCCTGTTTCACCATTTTAACTGTCTAGCTTTTATGTTTGTGTGATTAGTGAGTGTAATCTGTGTTAACATGGCTATGATAGTATACTATCATAGCCTGGGGGCTAACATTTTATAGTAGTGGGAGTGTCCAGCCAAGTGTGCTTAGGAATATTAGATATTCTGTAGTGCCAGAGCTTGAGTTGCCCTACTCCTGAAATAAGTTGAGCGTATATTGGCTACGGGATCTCCCTTAGACCAATACGAGCCAACGCCTCAACATAATTATTTCAGAGTGCTGTTGGTTCTTAAGGAGCAATCCTTAAATCAGGCACGCGACACGAGCGGTATGTGACATCCACCAGGAAGCGAACGCACGACCTTCCAAATCGGACGCTAGTGTCTAGCCGCTACGCCACGACGACTCCCTGCTGGATTTAGGTTAAAGCTAAATGCGCTACAGCTTGGGACTTCAGAATCTGCAGGGGCCTATACAAATTCGTTTTTTTTTACAAATTTCTTTCCTCTTTGAATATGTTTTAAATGGGATTTTTGCTTTTAAGGTATTTGAAACTCATAGAAATTATAAAGTTGTAGCTTAGAACCATTTAGATTATTATTTCTGTGGTTTGGCAAAAAACATTTTTTATTCCCCCCCCCCCCCCTTTCTCTCCCCTTTTTCCCCATTAAAAAAAAAGAATTAATCCACAATAGTATACATATATTTCAAACGCGTTTATATTTTATGTACATGTTGACGCCTAGTATAAAGTATGCGTTGTCGCATTACTCCTAATTGTATCCTCTCCTTTGTAGCGCTTCGCGTTACTCTCAGTATTATCCTCCCACTTGTATCATTGCCTACCTCTTGCCGATATGCCTTCAGGTTTTTTCTCCAGTTTGTGTGTTTTTACTTTTGTATCTTTAAAGACTGTTATTCCTTTAAAGCTAGTTGCATATCTTTCACAAAACGTTGAACAACAAAACTTTATGAATATGAGTAATTTCATTATATTTTCTAGAGCTTGGACTTCTAGTTTTAATTTAAGTTTCAAAACAGGGGGAGTAACATATACCATTTTGTGCAGCATCAAAGGATATATTACGAGTAGGATAGTTCCATACCTTGTCCGCCAATACACCTTTGTCATTGGTGTTCTTTTGTGTACTTATTCTACTTAGTTTGCGCACATCATTTTTATGTGTACTTGCGTATAATTTAAAAAAAAAAATTGTGTCTACAATAACTTGTTTTGTCTAGGTTTAGTTTCACCCAACTGCAAATGTTATAAGCAACGACACTTCACGAAGACGGCGAAAATTCACACACAGATAGTTTTTTTGTTGATGCCTCAATCTTATCGGCGAGATCGTTCTCGTCCATCATCCTGGCAGACACTCTTGTTATACATGTCGACTCAGCACTAAGAATCTTTGTTTTCCTTGTTTCAAATTAGATGTATCATTCGCAGCTGTCAGTTGTTCTTGGTATCTTACGAACAGTGCACTTCATTTTATTCATCCTTGACTGTTGCCATTTTTCTCGTCAGCTCTACAGAGCTTTCTCTTCGCGGCTTTCTGCTCCTCAGTTTTCGCACAAAAACAATCACTCGACTCCGACGTCCGCTAGTAATCGCTGTCCCACATAGAAAGAATATTTCTTCTATCTCACGTTGACTCATTTCTTCTCGAACTGCTGCTTTCAACTAACTGATTGTTGAATATTTGTTGAGGGATTATTCAAAGGGTGTACACTTTTGTTCAGAAACACCAGAGCCGGGGGACGGGGGGGTGGGGGGGGGGGGAGGGGGTTGGTAAGTGTTTATACATTTTCTAATATTACTGTTACATTGTATCACTGTATTAGCATCCAGCAACAACAACAAAACAAAAACAAAAAAAATTGTTTTTATTGTCATATGTTTTTAATTAACGTTAAATCTTACAGTTCCCCCCCCCAACCTCATGCCCTTTCATAAACAATACGAGCACATTTGCAAAGGGCTACCTGCAGCCACGATCACTCCCCCCACCCCCGCCTGTTTTCCCCCTCCCAATCACGACCCCACCCCCTTTTACCCTGGACTCTGAATTGGAAACCATGGTCAGACTACAACAGCAAGTTAAACGGGGTGGTGCTAAAAACCAACACAGAAGTGGGGTCGTCAGTCGCTACACACTAGTAAATTTATTTTTCAACTCTTCTTCCTAATGTCCTACTTTTTGACCTTACCCACAATAGGCATGCCTTGTTATGGTCTACAGATTGTGCCAGAAATGTGCTTTTAGTCCAGCATATCACAGTTGAGCAAATCTTTAGTTAGTGGCCTTTTCTGAGGTGCACTCGGTCTTTTCTGTTTATCCTCCAAAATGTGAAATAAACAGGCGAAAAAAAATTACCTCACGCGGGACAATCACATTGAATTTCGAGTCCAACGCCTTAACCGCTCGGCCATCGTGACAGACAACTGTAGAAAATGCGATGTGTCTTGGGGTCTTTAGATATAAAAATTCACAATAAACATTGTTCAGAGTGCTGAATATTTGCTCGTTATGTCATATTTATCAGTTTTCGAGCCCCGCTCGCTAGCGCAGTTGGTTACACCTGACTGAGCGGCGACCGGGTGACTTACTCTTTGTGGTTCGGGTTCACGCACAGGGGATAGGTAGAAAAGCTACATTTCTCCCAGATTTACGATATCTGTCATTGAATTAAGGCCGAATGTTTGCGATATCCAAAAGTACCAAGCCAAAAGGTTAACAACTCGTGGTTTCTGGATACTAAAAAAAAAAAAAAAAAGTTCTTGAAGTGGTCTTTCTTTTACATCATCATTGCTGAGGATGTCAGCAGGCCGTATTTAAGATGTATGACGCCTCTGTATATTCATTTATTTACAACCTCTTATCCCTCTGTTCTTCTTCTTCTTCTTCTTCTTCTTCTTCTTCTTCTTCTTCTTCTTCTTCTTCTTCTTCTTCTTCTTCTTCTTCGCGTTCACCGGCTGTAAACTCCGACTCCCACCCCCTCCCCGCGGCCCTTTGCCTCCCCCAGACACAGATACACACAAAATGCTGTAAAAGCAGAGCTCTCAAGAAAAAAGTTCATATTAAATATTCTAACAAGATGTGTTTGCATGACGTCAGATCGCCAACAATGCCAGGAGGACTTTTTGCCATCAGCCGAGAATTCTTTGACAAACTGGGAACTTACGACCCTGGACTGGATTACTGGGGTGGCGAGAATATTGAACTCTCCTTTAAGGTGAGAAGAACCTGCAGATTTCTAGTTCATAAAATATGTTTCGTTTTCAGTTTGTCATTTGCAATTTGTGTTGACTTTCACGATATTATTGCTGCGCTGCTTACCAAAGCATTTGCTGGGCCATGTTACACAAGACCCTAAGGTTAGCCATGGTGTCATAACGATCAAATACGGCGGTTCTGAAAAATGCAGACGTGAATAAAAAAATAATAAAGGAAATAAAAAGAGATTAATGAAATATTTTAGACATATTAAAAGATATCTGATTTTCATAAAACCATACTTGAGTGAAAAGTTAAAGGTAACAAAGAAAGTGACAGACATGAACATGTGAGAGGGTACCATCGTAGATGGGCTAACAGCATTTTAAGAAAGTTTTCATAAATGCCTGATAAGAATTTAAGCCCAAGTATTTTGGGATAGGATCCGTGGCCTCTGTAGCTTGTAAGCGCCCTATGATAATCACGTGTTTAGTGCTTCGCTGGCAGTCTCGCATTCATCCGAGCTCCATCCCTATCATGATCATGATAATAACCACTTGTACAATACTGTTTATTTCAGGCTTGGATGTGTGGAGGGAGTGTGGAGTTGGTTACTTGTTCTCACATCGGTCATATCTTTCGAGGCCCCAATCCCATTCCACTGCCGCCCGACCCTGTCAGAAAAAACTCCATACGAGTTGCCGAAGTTTGGATGGATGATTACAAAAACTACTTTTATGAAAGAATACTATTCAGACTGGTATGTACACCTTGACTTGTGTATTTAAGGTTAGGCCAAGATAACAAAGCATTGTAACACTCTCTACTGAATCTTATAACGGTTTTACCTCTAAATTTGGAAGACTACTATTATAGTGTGAGCTTGTAGAACATACGAGAATCTGCTGGCCAAATGGAGGGGTGAGGGGGGAGGATAAAATTCCAACCTCCATAGTCTGTGAGGGTTGCACTGGAAATGCCGCACTAAAATTCTAAAATGTTCCTCTCACCATCAGCGCAAAAGTGTTAATAGAGCTTTGAGCAACAAACAACGGTCAAGCATCGAATATATTCTTTTTAATTCCATAATCTGTATGTTGTCTCTTTTGCTTCCTTCAGAATGTAACTATTTAATATTTGCACAGGAATCGAGAATAACATTATGCCAATATCAGTGTGTTTGTAGCTTCTGAAGTCGTTCGTTGGCAGCTTCAGTATCGTTCTGCATTTGCTGGGATACTAACTCAAACAGCACATTTTCGTGGTTTAGGATTTCTTCTTTATGTGGTTTCTTATAAAAGATACAAAACTAAATATTTTTAGGCCTGTTATCTTCGGGTGACGAGATGCAGTTACTTTTGGTACTTCTAAATTAATGACTTTCTGAAAATATTCAGGCGATCTGATTATTATGGCCTGGAGAGAATGAGGCACCTCGGTGTAACCAGAGGGTCTGGCCATCTCACTACACTCAGAGGAAAGGCAAGACGGACATATAACCAGATAGTGACCGGTACCATCAGTACTGGAACTCTGCGCTGGCTGTTGAAGATGAGGACGGAGTACGCATGGGAATGCCCCGAGTGCTGGGATGTCAATTCTTGACTCAACTCAACTCAGTCTATCTGTTTATGTGATTTTCAAAGTCGGTGACAACCGACTGTTCACTGTTTTTATACGTCATCTTGGTTGCCTAGACATTCCTGTTTGTTGTTGTTGCTATTGTGCTTTAGAAATTTTCCTGTTTCTTTTTGCTGATGCTAATTCTGTGTGTTGCACTTGTTGATAAAAAACCAAAGGACTTTTTTCACGCCAGTTGTTTACCAGACATACGTTGCTAATCACTTGTATGTTTGCAGACCAATCAGCATTCAATGGGGTATGCGGTTAACATTACACCGGCCACCTTTAATTCCCAGGACTTCACCTAGTGCCCAGTTTAGGCCTAGTTGACCTGGAAGGCAAGGCCATATTGACGAAAAATCCAGCTCGATACAACCCAAGGCACTAAGGACCGACAGACAAGCGTCTACCCACTGAGCCAACGCTGCTCCTTCTTTTCTATTAGGCCATCTACATAGTTAGTGTCTTTTATCTACCCCTGAACTGTTTATTTCGGCACCAAGAGCTTGCTTTGTAGTTGTGAACGAAGTTTCAACAGTCCGATATACCTAGGTTCGCGAGGGAAAAAAAAACACAGTTGAAGGCGATTTGGTAGCTGATAGCATTGCATTTATTTTTTTGATCTTTGTATCGTTCTAGAAAGCAGTGGCAAACTATTTAACATACAATCTAGAAGTACTAAGTGGACACAAATATTTTTGTCTTCTATTATTTCTTCATGTGGTTTCAGATAATCAATACACAGCTACGTTTTTGCATGCAAAATTCTGAGAAGGAATAAGTTTAAAAATTAAAAAATAAAAATAAATTAAGATATTGCCGACAACTGATAATGGAAAATCTTTAAGTCGCACTTACGAAACTGCTTGATGATCACTATATTTTTGTAAACGGTATAGCGAACAATTTTTTTTCTAAATTTTCTAATAAGAAAAGACAGCAAGGATGAGAAATGACCATTCACCATTTTGCCAGTGCCTATAGTATAGGGCTGACTAAAACCACTCACGCCAAAGACTGTCATATGACTGACTACCTTTTTCTTTTGCTTAACTTCTTAAAGTCTATGCCGTGTGGTGTAGGTAATCATGTCTATCCACAAACTTCTGTCTCGAGTAATTTTAATTATTTCTGACGCAGATGAACCTCAATGCGATTATGTCAGGCTGTAAATTATGTGTTCTCTCGGTCTCCCTCTGACTCCCCTCCCCTCCAACTTTCATACTGTCACAATGTACTCCAGTTTTCTCCTTCTCATCATATGACCAAAGAATGTAGATTGTTTCCTTCTGATGTGAGAAATCAGTTCTCTTCGTGTGTTAGTTTCTTTCAAGACGTCTTCGTTAATCTTTTTATTTTGCCTATTCTAGCTAAAAACTGATTAGTTATTAGTGAAGTCTTTCAGCTCACCACTCAAGCCCCGATCTCATCCTAACTAGTCCCACAAGTTTAAAAGGACTAATCAGCCAGCTCTGTGTTGATTGGTGAGACGTCTTGTGTCCTTAGTGAAGTGTTTATATCTAGAGACTCCATGTATCCGAACCTGATCAGGGAGACAGTCACGAACACCGCTGAAGTTGTCTTCGCGATATCCATCTCGCTTGACATTGAGGATATCACTCAAATGTTGTCATTACGTCACAGTCACCTTAATACTAAGTCAGTGTTTCGAAAAATAAGCTGTTGAGAGATCTTAAATATAAAATGATTATTGTAAAACTGTGGTAAAAGTAATGATACATTTTGATCATATTGGACTAGGAATGAACATGTGTGCCCTTTGACATATGAAAAGTAACAAAATAACAGCACTGTAAATGCACTTAATTGTATGTAATACAAACAGTTAACGGCGGAAGTTTTATTATCGTAGCTTTATTTGCCAGTGCAATTGTTCATTATAAACAATTATGAAACTTTTATGTATCATCTTGGTTCTCTCCTGCCTGTCTCGCATGAAAAGATGAATGCTGAATCAAGAATCGACAGCACAGACATCACAGCACTCGGGACACTCCCGATCTCCATAATCACGATGGCTACATCTTCAGCAGCAAACAAGGAGCATTAGAATTACAGATGCTGTTGATCGTGTACACTCTTTGAATCTTATTTCTTATCATGCGTATTTTTTAAAAAACCACATTACATATCTTATTCTTTCATTTATATAATTATGGACTGAATGGTTTTCAGTGCAATGAGGATAATCTGTCTACCAACTAACCTATATAAAAGTAGTTATTCTCTTTGAATATATGTTTCATTCTTCTGCTTTCATTTAATGCTACTTTCAACTAAAGGTAATTATTCTCTTTACATTATGTTTCCTTCTTTTGCTCACCGTATGTTTCTTTCTGCTCTCATTCATCTACTTATTCTTTTCAAGTGTATGTTTATTTCGTTTGCTTAGCTCTTACTAAAAGTCGTTATGCTTTTTAAGTATACGTTTACGTACCCTGACTAAACTTATCGAAAAGTAGTTATTTTCTTTAAATGTATGTTTACTTCTTTTACTTACAAAATAAGTCACTATTCTCGCTTATATTTATCTAAATATTATTTTTTTAACGTCTTCTGCTAATATATTTCAATATAGTTTATTGAAAAGAAAAAGTTTTCTGTTAAATTATGTTTATTTCTTTTGCTCTTACACTTATATGATATTAGTATGTGATTTCTAGGGTGAATATGGGGACGTGACTGAGAGGAAGCAGCTTCGAGAACGTCTCAAGTGTAAGAGTTTTGAGTGGTATTTACGTAACGTTTACCCCGATGTTGTATTACCCTCCAACATCAAGTACGCTGGAGAGGTAAGTAGCGTTTATCAAAGCCGAACATTATGTTTTAACTTATACTATATATAAAAAAAAAAAAAAAATTAAAAAAAAATGAAATAAGTCTCTGGAAAATCATTAGTATGAAAAGTTAAAAGAATAAGATGATTACGATATTCTGTGCAAATCCGGATGAAAATGGGACATATGTAGAAAACGGAAGCTGGAGTATGAAGTTGAAAGATTGGGATGACATGGGATGAGTTGCTTGCAATAGCAAAGGATAGGGTGACAGGCATGATTGGCTGGGGGTTTATTGTCCATTGGGGGATATGGAGCGAAAAAGAAGAAGAAGAAGAAGACGTAATCCTAATAGACACTAATTGTATGTCTAATCGAAATGGGTACTCGTTAAAAATGGTTTTTTAAAGTTTAATAATTATGACATTAAGAAGGACTCCACGCGGGAGCATGTACAGCAGGGGTCTCCCGATCATCAGTAAAGAGATCCACCGTCGACGATTATTTCGCCCATTACTTCCGTAGACAATCTCAGAATGTGGGCCGAGCTGGATGATGAAGCCAGGCCTTGATCTTCCCCTGCTGAACTTCGTCGGACTCAATAAAAACAAGACGATATGGTAACTTTGCAACAGTAATTATATTTAATTGCGTATCCTTTACAGTACATTGCAGACCTAGCCCCAGCATTGGCTGTTGTGGTTTTTCCTAGGCAAATTTACGTCAAATAGTTTGCCATTGCTTTCTGGAGGGTGGAAATCTCGATACTACTGTCGAAACCCGGCACCCAGGCATTACGAAGCGCGTGCGCAACGCCTAAGCCACAGACGACGACATGACAGTAATGCATTTCCCCAAAGTGCATTTGTAATGTCTTCATTATTTCACTATGCAGATCCAAAGCGTTGCCTCCCCGCGATGTGTGGTCAATATGGGCGGACCCGAACAAAATCAGCATGCGCCGAAGATGTATCAGTGTCACGGACTGGGAAATAATCAGTTCTGGTATTTTAGTGGAAATGGTCAGATTTTTCAGGATGACTGGCACATCTGCGTCTCCAATGGGCAGATTGTTACCAGAAACACATGTACACCAGATGGTGCCACATGGAAGTACAGAGAGGTAAGTAAGATACCTTGTTCTAGGAGAATAACCTTTCCCGATCTTGATTGACTAATTCTATTTTTTTTCATCTTGGACACGTTTGTATTAGGGCTAGAGCCAAACCTGCCTTGATTAAACCTTACCGGAAGATGGAATGTCATACCCCCATAGCCTGTAATAAAGACAAAAATCAAAGGAGACGTATATTAGGATTGGTGAAACATTTAACCTAAAAGACGAGAAGAGGTTTCATACCAATAGGAAGATTGTCTAGTAAACAAAATCTTGTCTCTGAAGCTAAAATATGTTGGCCATATCAAGAGCCACAGGGAATTCATAAAATAATAACACTAGCAGAAAGAAAGGTACCAAGAAAGATAGACAGGGGCCGACCAACGCCTTCTCCAGCTGACGGGGCATAGTGCTGACGTTATCACCTTGACGTGACATCACCAACACGGGCTAACCATACGTTAGGTTTTTACTCTGACAGTCTCGTTGACCCGTTTTTTGTTGTTGTTGTTGTTGTTGTTGTGTTCTCTGCCTTTCCCAGAGTACCCGCAAACTAATTCTAGGAATAAGCTCGAGAAAAGAATGTGTATATAGGTACATACACATATACAAACTAAAAAGGAATGCTAAAAAGAAAAAAAAATTTAATAATAATTAATGAGTATAGCTTATACAGTTGATAGGTTAATATAATCTTTATAATCTCGTCGTTTTAAAATGTATTCGTTCCTTAATGAAAAGTAATAATAATACATTCTAGGATATTATTTAGACGTATGAAAAAAAAGGGGGAAAGGGGGGGGGGGAAAGAGGGGATCCGCAGGTTCAAACCGCAGAAATCGAGGAGTCTGTCAATCCATAAGGGCAAGGTGTCGGCGA